ACAACAGAGAAAAAGCGGTTGGAAAATGCATGTGTCCGATGTGGCAGTCCCCAATGTTAGATGTCTTGAAACGAGGCCTCAGGAGTTCTGAGGGCTGGGGGGGACGGGGTGCTTTGTAGGCTTGTCAGCTATGGACCTCCCCAAGACCTCGAAGAATCCACGGATTCCCTCAGACCGGTCTTTTTCTATGAGCAACTCTTCCTGTTGACGAAAAGTCGTTGCAAGCTCTTGCAAAGTCTAGAACAATGTAGGTGTCGGAGATAGAGTGTTTAAAAGGAGTAGAGGAAGCCACCCATTTGAGGGGCATCCAAGGTTTAAGTTGCAGGTCCCAGCCTTGCAAACATGCTTTTGCCACGGTGCAAGACCTGAGGATCAAGCAACAAACCATCATCATCTCCAGTCCCTTCATCCACTCTTCACACATTACACGATTGGGGCTGTCTTTTTTGGGGGGGCCCTTTTTGCCGTCTTAAAAGGAAGCCAAAGGTAAACCATCATTTTGGGTGGTCCCCGAAAGAAGACAGACCCAGTTGTTGTTTCCGGGTTGGGCCATTTGGAAACAAGCCCTGGAAAGCATGATCCGCTCACGTCTTGGGTGTTTTGACGCCTTTCTCCCAGGATCCTTTGGTGCCGTTGCCGTCCGCCTACTTTAAGACTTGGAGCGAATGCCAGAGGCGGGGACTGCGGTGTTTGGATTTTTTGGCGAATCACCGAGAGGATGAACAAGTTTGCCATGCCTGGGTGTCCTCTAACAAGCCCATTCGTCATGGTAAGCAGGCAAGAAGAAAGCCAGGCACCGTGCCGCTTGAGCCACTTGGGCGTATGCAGCTTGCTTTGGCAGCCGCCAATCCAGGCAAAGGTGCATTTTGTCCCGCAGTTGGGTGGTCACAAGGGCTTTTCCCGAGGTGTCTTTTCTACTCGCCACCCTTTCAATGCAACCGCGGCCTGGCAATGGTCAGTTCACGATGGGCTTTCGCAATTTATCCTCTGTAAAGGGCATCACTGACCGAAACAACCGTAGTCTGCAAAGGAGAGCATGAGCATGCAAACTGGGAGCCAACCGCCTCGCGCAGGGCCTGCGAGACCAACCCCACCTGCCAGTGGTTCTCCTTCAAAGAGGACAGCGCACCGACGCCGGGCGCCTGCTACTTCGCCTGTTTGAGTCTTGCAATCCACAAGCGCCAAGGTCCCAAAAGGTTTCAAGGTGCTGGCCAAATCCAGCCGCCGAGAGACGAAGATGTAGTTTTCACCTCGGGGACATGATGAAGGCTCCTATTTGCAAAAGCAACAACTTATTTTGGGTTAGTGCACTATTTTGATTCGTCTACAAGAGGTGAAGAAGGTAAACGACTAACAAGCTGTGCTGTCAGCAATGCGCAACATCCGTCACTTTCGTTACGCCTTGTTTAGTGGAGCTTCAAACAATTCAAAGCTGAATCGTTGGCACCCCTAGATTTCTTGGAGACTGTTTGACTTTCCATTGTTCACTTCTAACTGTTTGGTGCCTGTGGGAAGGTCCACTTCTCTTCCTTCAGGGGAAAGCTTTGGGATTGCTCCATTTGCAAGCACTTGGGACCCATTTCTTGCTGCTCTTCCCCTTTCCAGATCTGGAGGTTCCGTTGAAACTCGGGAACCATCAAGGTTGGACAGTGAGGGATCCAAACACGAAACATGGAAACCCCATGTCACCAGGTCTTCTGGCCCAGTTCTGACCTGAAATGCCTCAAGCGCCCAGGCTACTACTTCACCAAGACGGACGTGGCCACGGAGCCGGACGCCAAGGCCTTCTCCGGTCCCAAGGGCTGCCAGGCGCGGTCGATGCCTCGCCTCGCGGACGTGCTGCGCGGGTCTCGGGCGGTAAATTTCTCACACCCCTTTTCGTACCGCGCGCAAAAGAAACCGCCTGGTTGATTGTATTTGTTCTTCGGAAGTTTGGCTGATTGAACACCAGATGATTTTTACGTGTGTGTTTTGCTATCTGCCATTGGTGTGCAGTCCCTTTTGAGCCGATGGCAAGGATACTCCCTCCTCCCATTGACCGAATTCGCCACGACCCAAAGTTACGAGAGACTTGCGCCAACGCCTTCAGGACACCACCGTTCTGACCGACGCCGCGACCGCTGCGGCTGGCATGGCCTCCAACCTGCAGGACGCAGCCACCTACGAGCTTTTCCGAGAATCTGGGTCCTTAAATACATGTCCCCAATTTACCTGAAACATCTACGTGCCCAATGGTTCGCTTCTGGATGCCCAAAAAGCACGTGCTCGAGAAGGAGTGCAAAATTGAATCAGAGCCAAATCAGTGACTGAGGGGGGCAACGAACTTTGAGGCCAAGAAATGTGTATTTTGTGCACTACACGCTCTACACTTGTAGAACCACCGGCAGAGTGGACTGATAGTGAACTGCTTGCCAAGCTCCCCACCCAACCTGGGGGCAACATTTGTTTGTAAGCGGCGAGATGCCGCCACCCTGAAACAACAGGAGGATGCAATAAGGAGGCTGACCAGACAGTCAGACAACGTCGAGGCCTCTTGAGTGCAAATCCTATCATTCCAGGAGGGCGCCAACGGTGCTGCGGCCACGATGGCGGATGGCTTGAACGGTCTCCAGGAGCGGTTGAGGCCTTGGCTACGGAAGGCCTGCGGCGAGGCCAATTGAGCCAAATAGTTTGAGGCGGATGTCATTGGTAAGCATGAATTCCAGCACTGTCTTTGGTGTGGCACACTCCGTTGTAGCTCATGACGACTATTCAGCAGGTCGAAATCCCGTGGTTCAAGGACGGCGCGGCTGGCACTGCGGCTGACATGCAGAACGCCGTGGCTGGCCACTTGAACAGCCTTCAGGAGTGGGCCTTGGCTATAGGTGAGTCCAAGCGAGCCAAAGCTTCAGCGCCGCAACGTGGTATCTCTGTATATGCAGAGCCATCTATGTTCCCATTTGTTGGTTCTTCGGCGCCCAAGCAACACAATATCAAGAACGTAATTGAATCAGAATCATATCGATGGCTGTCGGCTTGGCAAGGGGGGCCAACAAACTTTGAGGCTGCCAATGAATGTGTGCTGATGCTGAGCTGCACTTGTAGAACTGCAGAACCGCCAACCGCCAAATTGTATGGACTGCATGCCACGCCTGTCCGCTTCATGGGCCTCTACATCCAACCGTACACTCGTTTGCAGACCAGGCATCGCCGCCCTTCAACGCTTTTTGGGTTGAGTTCCTTCTGCGAGGAGGGCGCCAACGGCGCTGCGGCCAGCATGGCGAATGGCTTGAACGGGCTCCAGGTGCGGTTGGGGCCATCGGCGAGGTCAGGGCCGAAATCAAAATGGCTTGGCCTGGAAGTTTGGAAGTAAGGAGGCCGTATTTCAAGGGTGGATGAGCAGTTTTCGACTTGATTCAGTAATGCTGAGTTTTGGTCACGATCAGTGGCAGGGATGGTCCCCTTAGCGAAAGCGGATTCTGTCGCTTTTGCCAAGGGGTCGAGATCCTGTGATTCCAGGAGGGGGCCAGTGGCACTGCGGCCAGCATGGCGGATTCCGTGAACGGCCACTTGAACAGCCTCCAGGCGCGATTGAGGCCTCAGGCGAGACCAAGTGAGCCCAAACTTGAGTCTGAGCGCCTCAACGTGGTATCTTTGCATTCACAGAATACCTGAAACATCTACGTACCCATTGTTTGGCTTTTGGGTGTCCAAACAACACGAGATCAAGAACGAGTTCAAGCAAGAATCAACCAGTGACCGCCCCTCTGGCAACTAAGGCCAAACAACTTTGAGGCTGCCAATGGATTCGTACCGCTTGTAGAGCTGCGGAACAGCCAACGTAGTCTTCTGGTCGCTTGCTTGTAGACAACTAGGTGACCAAGCGCCCTTCATAAAAACACAGGGGGGTTGGAAAAAGGGATTGAAACCCTCCAACCCAACAGGCCTTTGTCGGGGCTGCGGTCATCCTATTCTGGGTGGGAGCGGTATGGCGGATGCGGAGAATGGCAGCAGCGAAGACGTACCATGCGTGGGGTTCCCAACCAAGAAATTTGAAGCTTCCACTCGCTTCCCCGACACGTTGGCCCACCAACACTCTCTTGCGTTGCCAGTCCATGCTTGAGGGAGGGTGAGGGTGGACCCAATGGAGCCCACATTTCAGAGGCCCCGAATCCGATCTTTGAGCCCTTGAGCCTTCAAGTCCACGGCGGCCTCGGAGTGTCAGGACGGCGTGGCCGGGGCGGCTTCCAGTTTCAAGGAGGGCGCCGCCCATGCCTTCGACGTCACAGGCCGTTGCCTGCTGGGACTGGGAAGGTCGGAACTAACTTGCAATGGGGGTTCCAAAGTGAAGGGCATGACCTATGAGCCATAGCACACCTGTTTTTTTGCTTGGATTTGATAAATCAAACCTAGCAAAGGTATGAGCAACTGACAAATTGTTGGCAGTCTCTTGGTTGAATTCCCCTAAGGAAGCTCAGAAGTGGAAGGGCGAGTCCATCCTTGTTTCCCCCCAAAAACGGCGACCTCCAAACGTGTGTGGGGTTCCTTTGGGTGTCCAGAAGTAACAAAAGGTGACAGACCTTTTCGACGGTTTGCAAAACCCCTCGCAGGAGCTGCCGTTGACTTTAAGGCGTTAATGTACTTGCTGGTGCGATAGGGAATGACCGAAACCGAGTTTTGTGGAAAAAACCGTTTGGGGATTCCCTGAAAGGAAACCACATCGGGGATGGTTTTTTGTCGGAGTCCTTCCAACTCATTGCCTGGCTATCGAACCACCAAGTTTAAACCAGATTGGGTCGGTTTTGCCCATCACGGTCTTGGGTGTCTTCCGTCAAATGATGCGTGGGCATCATCAAACCATGGCACGGCCACGTGCTTGCACATGATCACTTGTTCATGAACGAGTTTGCGTCTGTTGCCAAAACACATCACGGTCAACTACAGGTCTAAGATCAAGTGGGGTCATTTGGACAAGCCTTGCAGGCACCAACCAGGACCACCCGGTAGCGGAGCACATGGGCATGGCAGCGAATGGGCTGATCCCTGCTGGCGTTTTCACGTCTGAGGCTGCGGGCGGAGGGCTGAGGGACCCTTGCTTGTCCTGTGCTTAGAACTGCATGCTAAAAGGGGCAGAATACCTGCTTGGTGGTTCATACCCATGGCTACAACCTGCTTGTTTTGGTTTCGAGTCCCCTAAGGGCTCATAACCATGGTTTTCTAGCCTCTTAATCCTGACCCTCAGGCCGCGACCCTGCGAATGGTGCATACGTCAAACGAGGGAATCTAGTCCTTTGCCACTTGCATTGGAGGCAGTTTGGCATACCAAGTCGCCAAGAGGAACCTGCGCTTCTTTCTACCTGCCGTCTAAACCGACAAGTATCGGCAGGCAATCATCTGAAAGGCCTGCCCCCTCCCCTGATTGTCGGTAAGGGTTGATGACAGTTCTCTTTTCAAAGCACAATTCAGACCTCTAAATAGTCTATATGGGTTGAACACCTAAGTGAATGGAGCAGCCAGCCAAATGGTCATCCAAGTGCATACAGCTCCCCCTCCCTTGAACACATACTGAACAAGCAAGCGGCACGGGCGGAAGCGCAATTTACGAGGGCGCGTTGTGAACAAAGGGAGCCCTTTGTTGGTTCGTGTTTAGCGAACAATCGTGGAGAAACTTTTCGGAAGACGAGATCAATGGTACGAGGCAGGGTACACCCTCTCCTGGCATGGCCAGCCAAGCATGTACCAGGGTTTTAGTGTTTCCACCCCAGGAAATTGATCTCGGCGCAGCCCTTGGGTTGAAATGGACCGCTGCCCAGACAATTGAGCCACATTGCGGGGCCCGGCATTGGGTGGTACCAAGGGAGCCCAACTGAAAGTGAGAAAGTAGTCACGGTAGTCACTGGCCGATTTCGGAGGCACAGAAAGGCGAAAAGTTTCCAATGATGAGCACATGAGCGAATGTTTGGGGGGAAGTCCTCTGCCATAAATGGGTGCGAGACGCCGTGGTTACATGGTCTTGGGCACTTGAATGCTTTTGCTGATTATGACTGACTGGGAGGGCAATCTTTTTTGGGGTGTACCAGTGTACCCCTGTTGTGTTTATTTGAAGGCAATTCAAAGGTAGTTGAACGCCCATTGCGGAGCCTCCTTTGAGCCGCCAGAGACTCAAATGGCACCAAACCCAGACTCGAGGACGGCAAGGGCAAGGCAATGGCTGCCGGCAGCAGTGCCGATGAGTGCCTGGGGCATCAACATTGGCCGTTTGGTTCTCTGGAAGGTTCATCACAGACCCCAAATGAGGCCAGTTCCTGCTTGGTGTGCTGAATCAAGAACCCTCAGAAACGCCACGCCCACACAGACCTGGTTGGCCCAGCGATGGGCTCTTCAACTGATTAAGGTTCTTTGCGAGGGATCCATAGGGATCCACAGCCATGACCCAGAGAAGGATTTGACCAGCCACGTGCTGAACCCCCTCCCAGTGGCGGGGTCAGCGGAGGGTTGAGCGGCAGCCCGCCGTGGACAGCCAGGCGGCCGAGGTGGAGTTTGGCGGTGCAGGTGCTAACTTGACATGGTTGGTCTACGGTTGGTTTGGTGGGGGGACTTGGGGAGGCAACCCAACAAAACCTGGGGGGCGCCCGGTTTTGTCATGCCATTTGGAACACACTTTCGACCAAGCCGAAGGAAGCTCGCTACTTGACTTGCGCCGGCTGTTCTGTTGCACCCGCGCCAAACCCCAGAAAATCCGCGGAAAACATGAATGAGAAGCTACACCACCCTGGTTTTTACCCTAGCTTCCTACCATACACTGGGTCTCCGGTTGAGTCGTTGCACATGGTGCATGCACGGCTGCCGGCTCCCAGTCACACGGCGCTCTACGCCATTGTGGGCGGCGGCGTCGGCGCAGCGCTCATCGGCGCGGGTGCCTTTGCCATGATGGGCTTCAAAGGCACCAGCCCGGAGAAGCGCAAGGCGAAGCGGGGCTTGTCCAACGTCGCGGCAGGCGGGTGGCGCGGGCCCAATGCAGGATGCAGCTCACTGGTAGCATGCGCGATGAGTGGGAGAAAGCCATAGTGGTCCATGTTTGCAATGAGGGCATGTGGGGCATGTCGGCGGGTTTTCGATTTCCTGATAAAGAAGAGTCACATGGTCCGTCGCTCATATCCCTTGGGGCAAACGCTCGAAGCGGAGTTTGGGGCCTTGCCGTTCCGAGCGCAAGATCCCAATCCAACGGCCTGTCCAAAGCGCCAGGCAGCCAGGCGAGGCAGGTCGACGTCGAGGCGCGCAACTGGTCCGTGGACGAGGTTTCTACTGGTTCTTGCTCTTCTTCTTTGTGTTCTTCTTTCGTCTTCTTCACCATCACCTCCAACCACCCACCACCCACCACCCACCACCCACCACCACCGTCACCATCACTCAACACGGTCTCGGTTATGTAGAATGACCCATGTTTCCTTCATTCAAACCGCTACATCTTCTTTAGGCGTGCTGGACGTCGGCTTCTCATTGACTCATGGCCTGAGCTCGGCAGGCGGCAGCTGCCAGCTTGCAGCGCGCCGCCCCAGCGATGGCTCCTCAGGCCATGGCGGCCCCGGCCATGGCTGCGCCGTGCCAGTACCCGACGGAGCCCACGTCGCCGGGATGCAAGACATGGCGGGTTGCGATAGAGACGGGAGTTGGTCTGCGACACCCAAAAGGAAGATCTGGAGGAACATGTCTGAGGAGTCCTTATGGTGTGAATTGTGGTAGACACCAGAATATGTGGGTTGCCTGTTACTCGTAGGTCGCTTTTTGGTTCGTTACTCCATTAATTAACATTAACCATAATGTTAGACAAAACATCCCTAATCAAAATGCAACACCGTTTAAACAACTCAACACTAGCCAGATTCCTGCCCGAAACAAGCTCCAAGCCACGTCTTGCAGCCAGCGCGAAGCAAACGCCGGCGCCAAGCAGAGAACCTTGAACGCCTCACTGACACCGTCTTCATGCAGCCGAATACCAAACAAACGGGTGACTGGCGGATGTTGGACACTGTGGAGTGGTTCTATCAGCCTCTCGCGTCGCATAGTGCCGAATCGTGAAGCTCAGGGCCTACGCGCCCATGGCCTACCAGGCTGAAGGCTATCAGATGTACCAGCCGCAGGCCTACCAGGCGGCCTACCAGCCACAAGGCTATCAGATGGCCTACCAGCCGGCAGCGTACCAGCAGCCCATGACCTACCAGGCTGCGCCTGCTTATCAGCCCGTGACCTACCAGCAGTAAGCATCTGCCGCCTTGGATGCCTTGCTGTTGACCTATTGACTTATAGAGGAGATTGAGCCTTTGCCTTTGGGAAACCCTCCGATAAGTTTGAATAGACATGCGCTGGGCTTACGTCTCAGACATCATTTCAGACATGGAGCTTCATTTTTGGATCTAAGAGCTTGGATTCGAAGCATTCCGGCTCTCGGTACTTGTATCGTCTGTAGAACGACCCTGCTGCACAAATTCAACCAGGGACTGTAGAACTAACGCCATGCCAGCAAGCTATAGTTGAACCTTGGACAAACGATTGCTAGGAATCCAATGGGCTTACCTGTTTGTTGTGCAGCGCCAACCCCGCGCTTGAAGCTGCTTCTTGCGAATCGGCTCAGATTGCCTGGGAACCTTCAGGAAGATAGCCGAGGGCGTGAAGCCAAACCTCTTGAGCGCAAAATGTGTGTGCGTGGTTTCCCACTGATTATGGGGAGCTCGCATTGAGATACTGCAATGAAGGTGTCCTTCCAAATGTACAGTATCTCTTAGCTCAGGGTTGGTTGAGGATAAAGAGGAAACCAGCCCCGCAACACCTCCGAAGCATCAATCCAAATTACCGAACAAGTGAAGGCTGAACAAGTACGGTGGCCTTATTCCAGGGCTAAACTCTAAGCTTGGGCAAGTTGCGAGTGCATTGTCCTTATGCTCTCATAGATGGAGGATTTTTTTTTGGCGTATGGGGTCCAGTTGAGCCATCTTGCCCCGCTTCAGAGAGTCTGTTGGGCCCAAAATGTGTTTTCATTTTCTTGGGAATACCCATTCCTTGTCAGGTCAAGTTGTCCTCAAGGATCCTCTGCACTGTGCTGAGTGTCTGACCGCCGCCAGCGAGAGTTTCGATTTGATCTGCAGAGTTGAAAGATTCGAATCCTGAAGTCCAGTCCGAACTCGAACGCCATGGCGCTCCGAGCTCTCCTGTTGACCCCGGCCCTGGCAGCCGGCAGCTGCTTGGAGATGGGCACCATCTCCAAGGCGCGCGCTTTTCTGTCCAGGAACCCCGTCCCATTTCGGGCCATATTGTGGTTGCAAGGGGTGCGTCACAGCTCAGAATCTAATATTTACTAACAAACAAGCGAGTGGTCGGAAAAGCATGTGTCCGATGTGGGGTGAAGAGCAAACTTGTTGAAATGAAATGAGTTCTCAGAAGGTCTGATCGCCGTGGGGGAGTGGGAGGGCTGTAGCCTCGAGCCTGGGATGGAGTTTTGGGAGTGACCCGCAGGTTTGTCATGAAGCCAATGATGTTCATAGGGAAATCGGACACTTTTCAGTGGTTGCGAGCTGCAAAAAAGGGCAAGGTTTCGCGGCTCCAGAAATAACAAGTTGCTCCAAGTCGAAGCCTGGGAGCCATCATGAGCCATCCCCCAGTCCTTTGAGGAATCGATGACGGGAATCGCTCGGGCTGCTTGACTCTCTCTCCCTTGATGGCTCAGAAGTTGACGGCCTTGTCAACAAGAGTCGGTCGTCAAAGTCCTGAACCAAAAAGCGGTGAGATACTTTTCCGAAAAGCTACTCTTGAAGTGCAGAGGTGAACCTTCAGGTGGGTTCATCGTCCACAACAGCTAGGCTTGTTACTGAGCACCCGCTTCTCGACCGGGCACAGAAACAAGGCGTGTTTGAGGCAAGCTACGCACGCACGCACGCACGCACGCACGCACGCACGCACGCACGCACGCACGCACGCAAGCACAGGCAAGGTTCCATGGCCAGCTTTGCCGCACACGTGCCTGACAAGGATCGTTATCATTATTTTCAACCATCACTCTCGAGAAGCATTCCCATGACCATAGCTCTAAGAAGCGATTTGAGCCCGCTGCTTGGGTGGGCTGATGGCTTTCAGGATCCTTTGGTGCCGTTGCCGTCCGCGTACTTTAAGACGTGGAGCGAATGCCAGAGGACTGCCGAATGCTTGGATTGCAACTTGGGAAACGCCCTTCCCGGGAAAGAAGTTAGTCGGCGCCTCAAGGCCACGTTGAAGTTTTTTGAAGCTGTGGCACCCCTGAAGTGGCGGCTGGGTCAGTTTTCCGCCCGCGTTGGCAGCGGTTCACTGGAGCATGAGTTTGGTCGAGAGGGCTGAAAGTTTGACAATTCTAATCTGTAGATTCTTCTGCTGGTGCAGTGAGGGCTTCTGGCATTGGCTGTTTTTCCTTAGCAAACATTGAGCGCCTAGGCAAAAGGCTAGTGTCCCCCTTCTGACGCAACATGATCTTTGCGGGAAGTTGCGGTCACACTGATACACCTGAACCTGGGTTTGTGACATTCGCTGAAAAACCAGGCACTTTTAATGCGCTTGCGGGCACAGCGCCATGACTGGTTTCCTGCAACAAGCCCTTTCGCAATGGCAACCAGGCAAGAAAGACATGCACCATTCCAGTTTTGAACTCCTTCAACATATTGAGCTCGCTTTGCCAGCCGCCGAGGCATCTCAGCAAGAACAAGTCAAAAAATGGACAGTCTAAGATCAATCTTGTGTTGCACACCCTGACAAGATCAGGACCAGCCACAAGATACTGCTCAGGATGTGTTATGCAACACCGCCAAGCTGCTGGGGGGGGGGGGTCCGCTTGTTAAAAATGAACATAATAGGTTTAAAAAACATCTAACACGAGTCAAAGCCGGCACCAGAACCTTTACTTTACCCTCTTTTCATCAATCGTGGAAGCCAGCTCGGCATGTTTTCCCAAAAGGAAGGTGATCCTCCAATAGCTTTATGTCAGCCTCAATGATAAATGGTTGGATGAGGAAGCGTTACAGACCCAGCACCAAACCAAGACCGTTTGCCCCGAGGCCGTCCATGTTGGAATGGGATCCTGTCAGACGCAGGAGCCAACAAACGAGCCGGAGCAAGGCATACCTCCAAAGGGAAATCTACGCTTCTCAGAGACACTAATACTGCGGGCAAGCGCCCATTTTGTCCCGCACTCGCTTGGTCACAAGGGCTCTTCCCGAGGTGCCATTGATCAACTTCAGCCGTAGCAATGATCATGTCACGACGGGTAAAGGGAATCCATTTTTTTGCAACGGGCATCACCGCCTCTCGCAGGGCCTGCGAGACCAACCCCACCTGCCAGTGGTTCTCCTTCAAAGAGGACAGCGCCCCGACGCCGGGCGCCTGCTACTTCGCCGATTTGAGTCTGGCAATCCACGAGCGCCAAGGTCCCAACAGGTTTCAAGGTGCTGGCCAAATCCAGCTGCCTCGCAAAGGTGTTTTTTCGGGCCCCGTGGTAAAGGTTCATTGCAAAAAAGCCTAAGCAACACCATACTTTAGGCTGGGGCATGACTTTGTTTCATCCAGAAGAGGTGAAGCCACCAAGCAATCCGCAGCATCCTTTCCTCGGGATGCGCCCTGTCTAAGTCACTCAAATACCCACGGTTGTACGGTTTCAAAGGGATCCAACCAGAAGCATGGCAACATGTTTCTTTCCTTGTCCCCTTTGGGTTTCCTTCATTTTTCCCTGACCAGCGGGGGTTCTTCTGGCCCAGTTCTGAGCTGAAATGCCTCAAGCGCCCAGGCTATTACTTCACCAAGACGGACGTGGCCACGGAGCCGGACGCCAAGGCCTTCTCCGGTCCCAAGGGCTGCCAGGCGCGGTCGATGCATCGATGATGCGGCCGTACCAAAATACGAAGCGCGTCTCTTCGGCGCCCGTGGCTCCTGAGGTACTGGGGTCTACCTTTTTAGGTTGGCTTTTTTGAGTTTGCAACTTTCATGAGTTTGGCGGTAAGATGTGAACAGACGCCGTCCGAATCCGCGGCGATCCAAAGATGGGAACTTGGGAACTTGGACTTGAGCGACGCTTTCAGGACACCACCGTGCTGACCGATGCCGCGACCGCTGCGGCTGGCATGGCCTCCAACCTGCAGGAGACTTTCGATGCAGATTTATGATAGCCATCCCAAGGAACGGGAGAAGCGTGTGAGTGAGGCTTTTGCAACAGGTATGGGGCTTGAGCAAGACCAACTAGTGCCTGTTCGCTTTATTCATGGGCTTCCGACCCACCTTTCTCCAAAGCGGGAGAGCAACACTTGTTTGTAAGCAGCCAGATACCGCCCTTGAAAACGCCACACCCCCTCTGACAAGGTCGAGGCCTCTGCAGTGTAAATTCCATGATTCCAGGAGGGCGCCGCCGGCACTGCGGCCGACATGCAGAACACCGTGAATGGCCAGTTGAACAGCATCCAGGAGCGGCTCAGGCGGCTATAGGTGAGACCCAGTGAGCCCAAACTTCAGCGCAGCAACGTGGTATCTGTGTCTTTTCGTGGTACCCTCTATGTATCCGTTGTGTGGTTTTGCGGTGCCCAAAGAACATGAGTTCAACGCTGCATCAGAAACAGGAAGTTGTTTTTCGTGTATCTTGAATAAGTGCAGAACCGCCAGACACCGTCGCCCCTTCAAAGGAAATCACAAAGGAGGTTTGGCCCAATGCCCCAAAGGGGTTTGCGTCCAGGAGGGTGCCAACGGCGCTGCGGCTACCGTGGCGGATGGCTTGAACGGGCTCCAGGTGCGGTTGAGGCCTCGCCTTGAGCGAGGTCAGTTGAGTCTGCCCGAACATAGGGCTGAATGCCAGTTTTCGGCCTGTTTCAGTGATGCTGAGTGCTGTCGCTTTTGACAAATATTCAGGAGGGGGCCAGTGGCACTGCGGCCAGCATGGCGGATACCGTGAACGGCCACTTGAACAGCCTCCAGGAGCGATTGAGGCCTCAGGCTGTAACCGTAAACTTAAGTGAGGCCAAGTGAGCCCAAACTTGAGCGCCGCAATGTGGTATCTTTGCACCCACAGAATTCCTCAAACATCTACGTACCCATGTCAGGCTTTTGGGTACATGACCTCAAGTTTGCTTTCAAAACTGAAGCAGAACCAGATCAGTGACTGCCGTTTTGGCAACAGAGGCCAACGAATGTGTGCTTCTAGGGGTAGCTGCCCCATTCTTTCCAGGGATCCGAATCTTTCTGGAAAACCACCAAACACCCTGGAAAAATGGCTGGTTTTTGAAAAGAACGATGGCTCAAAATAATGGGGAATCAACCGCTCGAGTACTGCTGACCTGCACTTGTGGAACTGCAGAGCCAACGGCATAGTCTTCTGGACTGCGAGCAATGCCTGGTCTCCTTCCTGGAACTTCCCGAGCCGGGGCGGAGCAACACTTGGATTGATTGAAACAAACTAAATCGTGGCCTTTAGCTTCAATTTGCGAGGCTGAGAGTAAAGAACAAAGAACACATGCAACACTGCAACCCGATAGCCTGTTTAAAAGCGATAGCACGAAACCGGTCAGTCAAAGCAGTGAAAGGATTCTGTACAGCCTCACTCCCTTCAAACAGTATGAAGGGCTTGTGACGCGATTCCAGGAGGGTGCGAGCGGTGCTGCGTCCAGCATGGCAGATACCGTGAATGGCCACGTGAACAGCCTCAAGGAGCGGGTGTAGCGAGCGAGGAATCGTTTGACCTTACGTCCTGGCCATGTTCACGTCACACCCGGTTGCTGTGGCTGTGACAGACGGCCGTGATGAAGACCTTGCTGCGTCATTCAGGGTTTTATGTGGGCGAGGGCGCACCGCCTTCCATCACACAAGTATCACACATCTAGAAATATGATATACTGTGAGGTGTACATATACAATATATACATAGTACCCCCCCCCCCCCATGAACTGCCTCTATTGCTTTGCCTCAAAAGCATGCAAAACCACCGTGTTTTGTGAGAAGAACAACATTTAGAGCAAAACGGATTCCGTTTTGAATTTGAGTACTCTAATTGTGGAAGGTTCTGCAAAACCCTCAGTTTTCGCAATTGTCCAGCAATTGTATGCAACAACCACCGTGTTTAGCATCTTGTGTAGTTTAAGTGGAGACAATGAAGACCAAAATCGATAAAGATCATCCAGGCCCAAGAAACAGAACCAACAAGCCAAAACTCTGAGAGTGTTGGTTTTGCCAAAAGTTTTGTTTGGTTCTCTCGAGGGTTTGCTTTGCTTTTTTGGTTTTCCCTGTGTACAAGGCCTTGTGCCTTCGCATCCGGGCAAGCCCGCATCAGCACCTCCAGCCCGTTTTTCACCAACGGGGCGTCAGGACGGCGTGGCTGGGGCGGCTGCCAGTTTCAAGGAAGGCGCCGCCCACGCCTTCGACGTCACAGGCGCGTGCGCTCCCCGAAGAAGGATGGGCGTGCAAAGGCCGAGCCAACGTCTCTTCTTTGAAGCGCCTGCAAACAAGAAAGTTAATCAGTGTGAAGAGGATACGAGGATCCGATTGAATTTCAGAGTGCTGCCAGCACATGGCAAAAGAGTGAATGAAACAGAGGCAAGGTGCAATGCACATATGCGGAATAAAATATGTATACCCGGACCCTCCGAAAGTACTGAAATTTCCGTACATGTCCGAACAAATCGTGCATGCTTATGTTTTAGGAAGTTTGACGGAAATCGCCTTTAGCAGGCTGTGAGCGTTTGGCACTTTAATTGCAGTTGGCAATTTGTATGGCCCGTCAAGCTTAATTCCGCTTCAGGTCTTACGTCTCCATTTGCTGTGGGACAACGCGTGACAGCTTCCTCGCCGCTTTTGCAAGTTTGCAGTTAAATGCAGAACCGGAAATGCACGGAAAGTGGCGGGAAATGTACGGAAATCGGCGGGAATGGTACGGAAATCTGCGGAAAAGTATGGAAATCAGCGGAACATTTGCCTAGGGCCTAGGGAAATGCGCACCTTTTGTCCTTGGTGAATTGAACACATTCAACTGGGTTTTTCGGCTCATGAGCATGACAAGCTCTAGTGCCAGGACCGGAGCTGAACGTGAGATTCTTGCAGAAAAAAGTAGTTGAATGCTCCCATTGGCTTTTATTTTAGCTTGCAGGAACATCCAGTTTTTGCTCACATGTATGGATTTCACAGATTTCTGCGGACATTCGCAAAAAAGCGCCCTTGGTTGGTCCAGGTATATGGGTATAGACGTCTCTGTCCACCATAGAAGGCTCTGCACGAGATGTCTTGATAGCATTTGCCCAAACGGTCCACCACAAGATCTGATTTCTGCGAAGGTATTCGACAGGAACTCTTGGTGCAAGTCTTTTGGGAGATCTCAGTGGACGCTTCTCCACAAGATTTGTGTGCCAGACCTGCAAACAACAAGGTCCTCCAGGTCAAAACATGTTCTTGCAGAAGATGCCTCGAGTCTATGTTTTGCAAGGTCGTGTACAACATTTCTCTGAGATAATCCTCACGGACATTCCTGTGAAGGATCCTTAGAGGATCTGTGCAAGCGATCTTTGATCTGCATGTTTGCACGTGTAGAGTCTCGTTCGGGGATCCTTGCAAGATCTTTGTACAAGATCCTTTTGCAGGCTCTCAGGATCCCTCCGCTCAATTACCTTGCCTGCAGCAACAGAAGGTGTATCAAACGGTGGTGGAGGCTTGACCTAGCCTGCCCCTCATTAGGCTTCGACGTCGGCCTGTGGCGCACTTTGCTATGAGTTGTTTCCACTTGTGTGTTGCCTCTCTTTATCGCAGACCTGGAAGGGTTGTTCTCACATCCATTGTTTTTCCAAGCCAAGGAACAGGAAGGTCTGAGACCAACCAAGGGGTCATTTGGACAAGCCTTGCAGGCACCAACCAGGACCACCCGGTAGCGGAGCACATGGGCATGGCAGCGAATGGGCTGATCCCTGCTGGCGTTTTCACGTCTGAGGCTGCGGGCGGAGGGCTGAGGGACCCTTGCTTGTCCTGTGCTTAAAGGGGCATGCTAAAAGGGGCAGAATACTTGGTTGGTTGGATGGGGGAGTGGAAGGCTGAGGGCGAGTGGAAGGCTGAGGGAAAATCAGCTTCGCGTCCGACCAGGCTGTTTTGTTGCTTGAAGGGGCAGGGCGTTTAGATGCATGGTGATGGTGGTGGTCAATAATCAAGCCTGCTTACTATGGTTGTGAGAGCCCTAAGTCGTGTGTTATGACTTCTGACCCTTCTTGCTAAGTACAATCTGACAAAAACTTTACTGAAGCAGATGAAATCAATGTACACATAGGGTTTGGGGTTTACCCTCTCCTGGTATGACCAGCCAGGCATGTGGAAAGGTTTCAGTGTTGCCCCCACCCTTCAGCGTTACTCCCGGATTTCATCACAGGAAGGTCTTATAAGTGAACGTTTGGGAACCGTCCCCAAACCACTAGGATTCAATATATGAGCCACTTCTAAACCCCCTGCTTTGATAGTAGCATCTGTAGGAAATATTGTCTTGCACGTGTAACGCCGCGAAAGGGTTCGCGGAACAGGGTTTTTCGCGAAAGGGCCCGTCACGCGAAAGCGAGCTTCGGACTTCATCAAAGCCTCTCGCACATAAAGGAACCTCTCATGCCACGAAAGCCTGCACGAAAGGGTTTAAAGCCAGGTTTAGGTTTACACCCTTCATGTTAAAGGTTCTTGGAGAGGGAAGGTCCAAAGCCCATTTCAGAGCCTCCCTCTAAGCCGCCTAGACTCAAATGAAAGCAACACAGACTCGAGGACGGCGGCAAGGGCAAGGCATTGGCTGCCGGCAGCAGTGCCGATGAGCGCCTGGGGCATCTTTAGCCTTCGTTCAACATATGCACATATCCACATATCGAAGGCTCTAGGGACCTGCTTCCAGTTATCTTTCAAAGTCTGCCCAGGGAAAACAACATTTGAAGAAGCACACCCCGGTCGTCGCCCTGGTTTCCTACCAATATTGGTAACTAGAAGTCTCGGATCAGTCGCTGCACGTGGTGCATGCACGGCTTCTGGCTCTGAGTCACACGGCGCTCTATGCCATTTTGGGCGGCGGCGTGGGCGCAGCGCTCATCGGCGCGGGTGCCTTTGCTATGACCGGTGGCAAGGGGACCAGCCCGGAGAAGCGCAAGGTGAAGCGTGGCTTGTCCAACGCCGCGGCAGGCGGGTTCTGAGAGCCTGAATGCAGGATGCAGCTCACTGCGTAAAGAGACATGTTATACGGTTGGAATTCCTGAGAAATTGGACACACTACTTACTTCAGACTTCTTGAATCAGCCGCTTGTTGGCGTTTGTGCATCATCGGGGGTTCCATCTTTGACAACGCTGCTGCTTACATGTCTGTTGGATTTCAGAAACAAATGTTCTACTGTGTTGAAAACTAGTTGTAAATTTATGGGGCTGTTGTGTACCGATGGAGTTTGCAGGTTGTGCCCATTCTGCATGTCGGACCGTTGTCTGACCGAAGCGCTCCATTCAGTGTTACTGCCTCGGAAAATCACGCAACACACATTGAACACATGCTGCGTTCGCGTTCCATGCGGTTTAAAAATGGCACTTAATTTTTGGGCACCGGGATGCATTGCGGTCCATGGGGCAGGTTCTTGACCACAGAATTGCGGTGACTTCTGCGGTTATTTGTACTTTGAGATATGGCCATGGCCATGGGTCAAAACCCCATACCACCAGTGAACATCCCAATCCCCACTAAAGTAGGTTCTATAATGGGTGGTGCACCTACCCCAAAATGGTACGATTGGTTTTGAACCATGGCCATATCATCCCAGCAACACTTCCTCTGCAGAGAGCTCTACTGTATTTGTGGAGATGTGACAATTGACTTGCGAGTGGATTGCGCAATGAGTGGGAGACCAACCAATTTGAGGGAAGGATGGTCAGGCAGCGTTCCTTTGCGGGAAGGGCATGGGACCAAGAGGGCCACGCCTAAATGAGCCATGAGTCACATTGCCCCTTTCTAATTCAATCCATATGTCCATTCAATCCATATGGTCCGTTGCTGTATTTCCATATCTTTTATATGGCCATATGTTTTGGTATGTCCAATGCGATCAAATGCTCAAAGCCCTCGGTGTCGGGGGCCTTTCCAAAGCGGCAGGCTCGAGCCAGGCGAGGCAGGTCGACGTTGAGGCGCGAAACTGGTCCGAGGCCGCCGATGCCAGTCTTTCTTCTTCTTCTTCTTCTTTTGCTTCTTTCTCTCTGTGCTTTTCTTTAAGCTTGAATCATCATCATCATCATCATCATCATCATCATCATCATCATCATCATCATCATCGCTTTGTAGTTTCCTTCTTGAACCCTTTGAGTAGGGTTTTGACGATATCGTCTTTTGCCACTTTATTTCGTTATTTTGCCTGAGGTTGCTTTCTGATGCCAGGTTGGAAGCCTGAGGCCCAGGTTTAGAAACTGAGGCTTAACGCTGCCACCAAACCGCCAACCCAAACCAATCAGACACAAGCCAAATCGGCTTCAAACCAATACATCTTCTTTGGGTGTCTTGGACGTCGGCTTCTCATTGACTCATGGCCTGAGCTCGGCAGGCGGCAGCTGCCAGCTTGCAGCGCGCCGCCCCAGCGATGGCTCCCATGGCTCCTCAGGTGGCGGCCCCGGCCATGGCTGCGCCGTGCCAGTACCCCACGGAGCCCACGTCGCCGGGATGCAAGAAACGGCTGGCTGCGATAGCGACGGTTTTTCGGAATCACCTGTGCTTGTGCTTGCTTCAACACCGGAATATGCCCGAGGGGGACAACAAGGGCCTTCGAGCCGAATCTAAGGCCCAACAAGGCGAAGGTTGACATCTCACAACTGCGGGTTGCACGCTTCCTTTCGTGGGGATCCCTTGGATCCTTTTTTGGGGGCTGTTGAGTCACTTTTTGATGAGGTCCTTTGCCATGGCCCATTTGGACGCCCGAACAAAGGTGAACGCATCCCATGCACTAGTTTTCAAAAATTAAGTCAGAGTTTCGGTCCGTTTCCCTTCACCGAATCATGAGGCCAGTTGCGCAAGTGAGAACAACCAAAGACAACACGCGGTCAGGCCGTCAGGTTGTCGAAGGTACGCGGACCGGGCCAATCAGTTGTTTGTTGTGTGGACACAAGCAAAATAAGTGGCACGGGGACATCCAACGCATTTCTCGGGGTGATGTCAAGACCCAAGGTTACCAGGTGTTCATTTGGGTGCGGCTCAAAATTAAGCAGGAGGGGTACGCAGGTTTTGGTCCATGTTTCCACTTACCAGGGTTCCATTTTGGTACCGTTTTTTTGAGCCACAGCCATTTGGACAAGTCCATATTCACAAGGGTCCCGTGGCTTTCCACAGAAAAAGGCTCCCTACCACGATTCACAGGCTGAAATATTGTGGGGCAGCTTGTACCTGGATCTAAAGTGTTCTGACTTCGGAATTTGAAGCAAGGGGACCCGACTTGTCCATGGAAACCTCGGCCTTGTGAACCTGCATCGATGGAGTTCATTCACTGGAAACCCCGAAACTAAGCAAGTTGCTTGTTTTGGTAGCTGGACTTCCCCTCATGACCAAGGAGCAGGTAATTAAAAAGAATGAGGGAGGAGCCTTCAGATACGTCTTGTTGTTTCAAGAAGCCATACAAGCGGTCCAACCATTTGGATGAGCTTGTGTCTAAAATAGTGTTGAGGCAGCTCTTCTCCCGGCCTCGTTGGGCTGTGCGTCAGTCAAAATCGTAAATGCCGCGGGTGCCAAACGCCTGCACACTAGCTGCACGCCAAATAGGCGGGTCAGTGGCGAATGTCGGACGTTCTGCAGGAGTGGTCCTATAATCCGATATCTAGTCAGCCTCTCGCGTCGCATAGTGCCGAATCGTGAAGCCCAGGGCCTACGCGCCCATGGCCTACCAGGCTGAAGGCTATCAGATGTACCAGCCGCAGGCCTACCAGGCCTACCAGCCACAAGGCTATCAGATGGCCTACCAGCCGGCAGCGTATCAGCAGCCCATGACCTACCAGGCTGCGCCTGCTTATCAGCCCGTGACCTACCAGCAGTAAGCATCTGCCGCCTTGGATGCCTTGCTGTTGACCTATTGACTTATAGAGGAGATTGCGCAGATTGCGCCTTTGCATTTGGGAAAATCTCCGATAAGTTTGAATAGACATGTGCTGGGCGAACGGCTCAGACATAGAGTGTCATTTTTGGATCTGAGAGCTCGGATTCGAAGCATTCCGGCTCTCGGTGTCGACTACAGAACCACCCTGCTGCACAAATTGAACCAGGACAGCCGACTAAACCCAGTCGACAGCAAACAAGTTCAACCTTGCAGAAATGATTGCCAGGATCTCCTTTTTGTGCAGCGCCGGCTTTTCTTGTTTGTGCAGCGCCAACCCCCCGCTTGAAGCTGCTCTTGCGAATCGTCTGAAATTTGCCCGGGAACCTTCCAGGAAGAAAGCCGAGGGCGCGAAGCGAAGCCTCTTGAGCGCAAAACAAGTTGCGTATTTGTCTTTGGTTCCCGCAATTGGTTCGCAGACACCAGCATGAAGATACTTTCTCAATCTTTCCTTACGGATCTAAGTCTTAAGTCTTGGTGAATATCATAAGTTGTGCAGACTGGTAGGGGGCCCTCTTGCTCTTGTTGAGGGTAAATGGTGAGGCCACTCTCGCAACACCTCCCGAGCATTAGACTGAACAAGTACGATTATCTTATTGGCCAGTGGGAACCCATGTCCTCGTCGCTGCTAAACTCTAAGCTTTGGCATGTTGCGAGTCCAATGTCGTGGACGGGGGGGGGGGGGGAGAAATAGGTTGTGGCCTCCTCAAACATGGGTCACCTATTTCGGCCAGCCCATTCCTTCAAAGCTGGAGGTGTAGTCAAGGAAGCCTCTGCGCCGCAGATCAGATCTCAGATCGAAGTGACGCCTTCAAGCCTTTCGAAAGCCATGGCGCTGCGAGTGCTTCTGTTGACCCCGGCCCTGGCTGCAAGCAGCTGCTTGGAGGTGGGCATGCTCTCCAAGGAGCAAGGGGGACCCCGAAGTTCGGGCTTGATGGCAGAACTGGATGCAAATCAGTGCTTAAGTGTGAGCAAAAAGGCAATGCTGGGTACAAACAAGAGTTTGGTATCTTTGACATGTCCATGGAGTGTGGCTGGGTCGCCTCATGCGACACAAACACCAAATTGTGGTGTCTTAAGTCAGGCCTTTGACCAATTCTCTGCATTTCCTTCCCTTTCCCCCCCCGCCTGCCCCCATGTTTTCCACAAAGCCTTCTCTTGCAGGTGGCTTCCAAAGCCAGGACTTCGGGCGGTTTCAGTGGCCCCCCGAATCCGAAGCGCCGGTTTCTGGCGGAGCCTCCCAGCTCGCGTTCGTTCGGGGGTTCGAGCTCCCAGCGCCGTAATGTTAGAAAGCGATGAATGAAACGGGAGTGAATACAAAATAAACAATCTCAAAGTTATTCACTCTCCTGAAAAGCAAAAAGGGTAGGTATTACAGAAAAAAAATGCTTCTTAGGTCCCAAACCGAAAGATACCCCTGGCATTTGGATTGTCAAACCTGCTGTCCATCCCCTCCACAAGGTCAACGGGTCAACGGATCCCGATGCCGCGACTCGAATCCCCGGCATATTTTTCTCCGCGGATGTCAGGACCCTTCAGCGCCACTGCCTGCGCTGTACTTCAAGACCGTGAACGAGTGCGCGAAGAGCCCCGGCTCCAAAAAAGTCACCTTCGAAGGTGTCAGCTCCTTTTTGAGAAGCCCAAATGTAACGCAAGCAACCAATGATTGGGAGTATATATCGTGCAATCAAGATGCCAGCTGGTTTGATGACATGTCCTGCATCTTCTCTCAAACTTGGGTGGTGTGGTTTGCAGGAGCTGCGAGAGCAACCTCCTTTGCCAGTGGTATTCCTTCAAGGCAGACAGCTACCCCACGAATGGCGCCTGCTACATCTTCAACAAGCCAGATGTGGCCAAAGAGGCCGACCCCAAAGCCATCTCTGGGGCCAAGGGATGCAAGGCGCGATCGGAGTTGAAGCCGGAGAGAGCGAGAGAAAGAGAGAGACAGAGAGACAGAGAGAGAGAGAGAGAGGGAGAGGGAAAGGGATAGAGAGAGAGAGAGAGCGAACGAGAGGTGGAGGGGTTGGGGGGAGCGAGAGAAAGAGAGAAAGAGAGAAAGATAGAGACAGAGAGAGAGAGAGAGAGCGTGTGTGTATGCCGGAAGAAAAGTGGCAGTGCAAGCAGGGTATCCGGCAAGTTCGACTTCGCAATGCTTGTTGAGTAGCTTGACTTTTGGCAGATCGCTTGTTCAATCCATTGAAGCCTCGAACCACATCGAAGCCTAACAGTTATAGCCTCAAAAGAAGCTCCCATCGTTGCATATTGAGGAGTCTATCCACAGGCTGTGGGGGAATTCCAACGAGCGCACAGTGTACCGTGTCCGAAATCCATTTGTTTTAATTGTCCTCTCGTACTGTTTTCATGTTCCATTTTACGAGATCGAGTTTGCCATCAGAGTCGTGTTTTTTTGCCCTGGCTTGTCCGAAACCAAGGGTTTGCTTGTTGTCTTAGTGAAGTGGCTGGAGACAACATAATGATTTTAGGGGTTGATTCCCCATTCTTTTAAACCATCGTTCTTTCAAAAACCAGCTGTTTTCTCTGGGGTTCTGATGGTTGTCTGAAAAGAAAGATCCCTGGAAAGAATAGTTGGAAGTGTCCCCTATACATTTGCCCAGCATTGAACCAGCAGCGGCGATATCCATCGAATCCCACTGCGACTTGGGCCGTGCCTTCAGCTCGACACCGTCCTCACCGATGCGGCCACTGCTGCTGCAGGCGTCGCTTCCAACTTGCAGGACGATGTGTGAGTTGGATGAGATCCGTTCGCACCACCTAAGAAACGTGTGGAAAGATGATTTCCCTATAAATACCAACCAACAATGGTTTCCCGTGGATTCAAAGTGGTGCAGGACTTCGTTTGTCCACAGTGTCTCCCCGTTGAAGTCGAGGGGTGCACCCGTTTTGTACCAACGGTCTGGTGAGCCGGCGAGCATGTTCAGATTGCCTCTTTTTTATTGCGACGGGTGATATGTACTGGTATTTGCGCAGGTCTTAGGTCTGTTGCCTTTTGCAATCCTGCTTGTGGGAAGTGGGAAGCAGGCAAAATCGCGTTCGCTGAACCGAGCAAAGCACAGCTTGCTTGACTGCCGGATCCCAGCCCAAGCTTTCCTCAACCAACAAGGGAGTGACCAATCCTCAGGAGGGTGCCAACGGTGCTGCGGCCGACGTGGCGAATGCCGTGAACGGCCAGTTGAATGGCATCCAGGAGCGGTTGAGGCAGTGCATAGAGGTCTTGCTTCTCCAGATGAGACTGCAGAGACTGCGGGTGAGCCAAACAAATAGTTGGACTTTGTTCAAGCAGGTCCGAACAAGATCACTGGCTGCCTTTGCGAAGGCCCACCGAACTTTGAGGCTGCCAAGTTGTACTGAGTGCAGAACAGCTGCAGGTTCACCGAAGTTGCCAGTGCTACTTCAACCATCGGGAAACTGTTGGAGTGGGGTGGGCGAACAAAGGGAGTGTGCATCCCTAACGTTGCTGCAATGTCAGGAGGGCGCCAATGGTGCTGCGGCCACCGTGGCGGATGGCTTGAACGGCATCCAGGAGTGAGCAACTGAACGCCTTGACCAAGAGAGACACAACTTATTCACAGGGACGATCGGAGACAGGGTCATGTTCCAACATGCATGGCATCCGTAGCTCATTAGCTTTGATAGTGTTTTTTCTGGGTTTGGGGCACGTTCCTTGATTCCGTGTTTGGCTTTTGACTCCAGTGACAGCGTTCCCTTGCTATTTTGAAGTTCTGGCTGCAACTATGTTCAGCGCCGCAATGTCGTGTCTTTGCGTTTGTGTACCGCCTGAACAGCCTACGCATTCATCGACTGGTTTTCTGGTGCCAAATAAACGCGTTCAAGAACGATACCGAAACTCGTTGAGAACGAGACCCGTGATTGTTTGGGGTGGCCACCGAAGTTTGAGGCTGCCGATGTGCACGCTACATCTTGCAGTTTTTAACTGGAGCTGCTCAAGTGTACTTTGTTGCTGCAATGCTGAATAATTTTGCACCTTCATGCTTGATACAACAATTATTGGAGTGAGCAGTTGCGATTGTTGAGCCAGAGTTGCCACAGTCTATACGTATATAGTTTGTTTATATTCGATCTGGAGCCGCCAACGCGTACTTCGTGCACTCCTGTGAAGAGCAGTGGCGATAGATCACCCTCATTCGCAACAGACACTCTGCTAGTTAAAACAGGCAGCGCCCAAGCAAATTGCGTTTATGGCGTAATTACCTAAATATGAAACCGCCTGCAAGTAGCGCTCAATGGCATGTCAGCTCGTCCTGTTGGAGCCATGGCGAACAACAACTATCTTGCTGACCTACACGAGTGAAGTTTTCCTGGTTGTAAGGCCTCATTCAGGGCTTGTGGGAAACGATTGGCTGGGAGCCTGAAAGTGTTGAGGGTTTCAACTCGTCGTACGATTTCAGGAGGGCGCCAGCGGCGCTGCGGCCGACATGCAGAACGCCGTGACTGGCCAAGTGAATTCCGTGACTGGCGCCGCGGCCGACGCGCAGAACGCCATGACTGGCGCTGCGACTGACGCGCAGAACGCCGTGACTGGCCAGGTGAATGCCGTGACTGGCGCCGCGGCCGACGCGCAGAACGCCATGACTGGCGCTGCAGCTGACGCGCAGAACGCGGTGACTGGCCAGGTGAATGCCGTGACTGGCGCTGCGGCCGACGCGCAGACCGCCATGACTGGCGCTGCAGCTGACGCGCAGAACGCGGTGACTGGCCAGGTGAATGCCGTGACTGGCGCTGCGGCTGACGCGCAGAACGCCGTGACTGGCCAGATGAACGCCGTGAGTGGCGCTGCGGCCGACGCGCAGAACGCCATGACTGGCGCTGCGACTGACGCGCAGAACGCCCTGACTGGCCACTTGAATGGCCTCCAGGAGCGGTTGAGCTAAGGGCAAGTTCCAGTGATACCCATGCAGTACATGTTCCGGTACCCAGGTTTTGTTGTGAGTCAAGTGGCAGGGGTGGGTGGTGGTGCACATGGTTTGTATGAAGTGGCATTATTTCAGGAGGGCGCCAGCAGCGCTGCGGCCGACATGCAGAACGCCGTGACTGGCCACTTGAATGGCCTCCAGGAGCGGTTGAGGCCTTGACGCAAGGTCTCACCCCAAGTGCTCGGAGGCAAGGGGTACCGTGTGGCTTGTGGTTTTCGGCATTTTTCAGCGATGCGGAGTTTGAGTTGTCACGAGCAAGCTCCCTTCTGAAAGTTTCCTTAAATAAATGGGCGCATATTTTTCCCAAAAACAAAACTTACCCGAAAGGTATGCCAGAACCTCATGAGGGGGCAACCATGGGAGAGAAGAGCTTGGTGAGGGGTGAGCTGTCATGATTCCAGGATGGCGCCAACGGCGCTATGAACTCCATCTCCAACGCGTTTTCGTCCGCAGGTGCGGATGGGCATTCAGTTGCTCCTTTTTCCCTGAAGGGGTGCAAAGTTTCGGGGATCTCCTTTAATCCCTTGGCCACTGGGCATGACCTTCCGTGCCAAACATGTTTCTTAGCGGGCCATCTGAGCAATGAAAGCTCCAGGCGCTCACCTCACGGGCACGGCCAACAAGGCGGCCGACCAGGTCGGCGCCACTTTCAAGGGCGAAGGGGCGGACGGCAAGGCCATGGCCGCCGGCAGCCAGAGCCAGCCCCTCGCTTTCCAGACGGGGCGAACAGTTTTGTAGCGAGATAAAGTGAACCGTATTCGCTGGCGTTTGTGTGGCCGTGCTGTCCCAAATTGTTAGATCATGTTAGACTGCAGATTCGCTCACGCTTGCTATGCCCTTGCCCCTTAGAAATGCGAGGTCAATGCATGTGTCCATGCTCTCAATGCACCCTGGATGCCCGACGGCGGAAGATCGAATACCCTCACAATGCCTTCCTTTACTTGAGAAGATTCATCCTACCAAAAATCACACGACACTTCCTTGTACTTGCACGGACTGCAGCCCAACGCATGCCGAGGGACAACACGGCGCTGTATGCCATCGTGGGCGGCGGCGTGGGGGCAGCGCTCATTGCCGCGGGAGCCTTCGCCATGATGGGCGACGGCTCGGAGAAGAAGCCCAAGAAGAAGCGCAGCGTGCCCAAAGGCGGGGCACACAGAAGTCTGTGGCGTGTCTTCCGGGTAGCTCTGGGAAGCCACCTTGGTGAAGAATTCAGGATTAAGAAGAGCCGGCCGGGCACGCATACTGCCGGTTGCCAAATTTGGGCATGAGTTGAGGGTGCGTCGTCTTTGGGTTGTTGCGAGCTTCAAGTCTTGGATCGGTTCTCGCGCTTGTGCTGCTTGCGGCAAGGAGGCAGGTTGGGAGATGAACAGCGCCCAAAACCTGCTCTTGGCCAATGAACCACATTGACTTATGAACCAATAAAGTCAAGAGGTTTCGGGTTCGCCGGATATCTTGCCCATGCAGATCAACATTTGACTAGCAACCCTCGCTACAACCAAGCTGTTACAGGCCTAAATCTATTGGGGTGCACTTGGAAGTGGATTGCAATCACGTCTTCTAGCCGCCCAACGAGCACCCAGGCAGCTTCTACGATGCTCCCAAGTGTAATTGAAAGTTGTGCAGGGTTTAGTTGAAGGTTGCTGCGGCGCAGCGAGCGGTTGCAGGTGTTGTAGAAGCAGGGTGCTGTTGCGGTACTGTGGAGAAGGGGGGGGGCCGTTGCAAAGTGCTGTGGCTGGGTGCCGTTCAAGGAAGCTTGCTGCTGGTGATGCGAGGAAGGGTGTTAGTGCAGCGATGGCGTCTTGTACTTACATTTGTTCTCAGTCAGGTTCATCGCCCTCTTTTTGAGTCCCAATGCCAAATACAGTTCGCGCTATGTGGGGGTTACTCTGGTGAATCGTTTTTGGCAAGTGACCAATCCGCCTGGGAATCTCACGTCTCACGAGGCGAGGCCCGAGAGGTCAACGTTGACGCTGAGGCGCGCTATCGACGGGCGACATGGGACGTTGTGATTGGTCCCTCCATCCCCATGATGCCAGGGCCCCCTCAAAACGAGGAGTGCGTGAGGGGGAATGATAGCTGCACTAGTGGTGTTGCAAGACTGATGTCCTTTTAGTGCCAAGTTAATTACTGACTTGAAACAGGACAATAGTCATTGGGGTTTGAAGAACGTTTCCTTCTGAGAGCGCCGCCTAAGCTTTGGCGGTGCCGTTAAAAGCAGCATACTCGGCGCTTGTGTCAGGCCGTGTTGCTTGTGTGAAGCCGCTCTGATCGACCGTTGCATGCAGCTGCGGCAATAAGCGCTCTTTTGGTGCAGATGCGGGAAGAAGCGTGGTCAAGGACCATTTCATCACACTATGTGTCTCTGTTGGGCAGTGTTCAGGAAACCAGCCTCGGGCATAAGCGCGAACGGTAGCTGCGGAGCTTGGCGTGTGCTGATGTCCTACTTGCCTTCGGTTGAATCGCAAGTTTCTCGTCAGCGCCTGGGTCGGGGGGGGGGGGCGCAGGGCTGTGCGCGAGGTCGCAGGGCTCGCACCAGAGGGTTGGAAGATCCGTTTCTGTTCTTATCTTTCTTGGGCGTCTTGGGCCAATGTTTTTGGACTTGGCTGAAGCAGCTGCCTTCAATGAGTCTTGCTCAACAATGTGAAGTGGTGAATGTTGCAAACAATCAAAGCTGAGTCCAAGTCTTTGGACACTCCTCGGAGTCCGTAGGCGGCCCTTTCTGCGGCCAGCTCCGGCCTGCAGATGGCGGCACCGACCTACTCTGTGCCGGCGCCGCAGCCCACGAGCCCCGGCCATCACCCCCGAAAACTAATTGCAATTTAGGGGGGGGGGGCATTTTGTGTTGTTGTTTTGGGGGGGGGGGAACGGCGGCGGGAAATTGCAACAAGCTATGTACTTGTACAAGGGTACCCATCCCCCGTGTGTTGCAGTTTTGTTTCCCTGCTGCAGCTGCAATAGACAGGGGACAGCTGACCTGTTTGCAGCAGGTGCTTTGCTTGAAGAGTTTGCCTTCCCGCAAGAGAATTTTGCCTCCGGATAACATCCAAGCTTGTTTTGCCAAGTTTGAGGTCGGTTCCCGGGGGGGGGGTATGCGGTTTTTCGGGGTGCCTGCGTGAGAGCTGGACATTCCAAAAAAGGAACCCTCTTAAGACCCCTGATCCTGGGCCAAGCCTGAACTCGGGGTACTTTGAATGCGTTCCAATCCGTGGCGCGCGAAGTTGTGTTTGGGCCTTTTGGAGGTCCACTCATTGGGATGGCCGATGACCCCAATCCTTGCCGTGGTTGTTCCTTGTTGATTTGTGGATGGCTGAGGACCTACCAGCAGCCGGCCTACCAGCCAATGACCTACCAGCCGGGCAGCTACCAGCAGATGGCCATGCCCGCGGCGCAGCCCATGACGCTGGGTCAACACCTGGCAACATGTTTGAGATATCTGGGCCGACCTCCAAAACACGTCTTGTTTTGAACGGGACACTTCACCCAGCTTTACCTGGCGCAGTTTCAGCTGTAAAGGTAGTGGATCCGAGGCAGTTGATAGTTGCAAGGTGTTTTCCCTGCTAAAACACACATGCAGAAACTTGGCTTACGAAAGCAAGAGAGGTGGGCTAAGAAGGCTTTTCTCAGGGATCCCCCAATTTTGTCCACGCGATCAGCATACCACCAAGGACCTACCAGGCTGCGCCCTCTTACCAGGCTGCGCCCGCCTACCAGGCTGCTCCCGCCTACCAGCCAGCCTCCATGGCTGCCTCTGCCTATCAGGCCGTGCCGACCTACCAGGTGCAGTGAGTGAGCCACAAGCTCCCAAACTGGCCTACGTTACAGCGCCGTTCCATACGGCGCCAAGTCCGAAGTCTTGCTCCCGTGTACAATGAATGTGTAAGGGTATTTATTTACATTTACATATTAGTCTTCGCATGAATTGCCACAGCTTGGAGCTTGTGTTGGGGTAAGCAGCGGACCAGGCCTTTATTTGTTCTAGCTTCCTTTGCAGCGAGAGCTCAATTGGTGTCGAAGTACACTAGCTCTCGGGATCGAACTGCGTGCTGACTATCTCCTGGTGTTTTGCGGCCGATTTGGATCGCCTTGGAACCTCCTGATCAGGGAGCCCGTCGAGGACCGCGCGCGAAGCATTTCGAGCGACAGCATGTGTGTAGAGCAACAAGAACACATGAGTCATCACACTTTGGCAGCGTTCGTTGAATGGCTGAATGATTTGTTTGTGTTGGCGCCAATTCCCAATCCTTTTCTGGATGACATCAACCCATGCTCTGCTCGCGCACGGTGCTGGAAGCGATCCTGCCAGACTGTCCGGAGAGGTGACAAGCATGCTCACTGAAAGTACTATACGTGGCTGAGAAGCTCGTCTCTTGCCATTCGAGTTTCGTGTGAGCAGCTGCGCATTGCGGTAAGGAATGCTTAGTTGACTGTGCAGGCTAGCATTCAATTGACCACTTGTGCGTCAATTCCGCAGTTTTCCGATTCAGATCGAGCCCATCCCCCGCCTTCGTGAACATGGCGATGCGAGTACTCCTGTTGGCCCCAGCTCTGGCTGCGGGATTTTGCCTGGAGAAGGGCATGCTCTCCAAGGCAGGGCTGACACGCGCGCAGAGGAAAGGGAAGGGTCCTCTTGGGGATTAAACCATGTTGTGGTTGGCTCGCACATGCGCCGGGTTCGCCCAGTGGCAGACACGTGCCAAGGGGTTCCTTTGGCGGCTGCATTTCTTCATGCCATTGAAGCCAGCCCGAGGCAAGCGTCAAGCAATCTGAACCCTAACCCAAGATAGCACAAGCACCCAAAACCTAAGTTGGCTTACAAGCCTTCGTAACTCTCACTGGCCAGGTTGGTACGATCGACCGTCCATGGCTGACTTGAGAAGGGTTTGGGGGCGCCGAGTGCCGGCGGCCCGTGTCAGGACCCTTCAGCGCCACTGCCCGCGCTGTACTTCAAGACCCTGAAAGAGTGCGCGAAGAGCCCCGGCTTACCACTTCAGTTTAAAGGCGTCAGCTCTTTTTTTGAGGATGGTGTCGGCCCCTTATTCTAGGCAATTCGCAAAATGGGAAGGCAATGGAACCAGTGCCAGAACTGACTAGTCACGGACAATCTGAGGGGTCCGTGGAAAGAGCTCTTCTTAGCGACATGTTCAGCGCTTCATTACTCACAGTGAACCCTTTGTAGCCCCGAATTTCGGAGTGAGTGACTCAAACATTTCAATGTGCCGAGTGGTTGAAGTTTGCAACAGACTTGGTGCCGAGGGCTCCGTCGGCCAACCGCCAGGTAACCAAGATGCCAGCTGGTTTGATTCCGGGACAATACGTCTTGGATGGATATCTCTCAACGTCTGTCGGTGGTTCGGTTTGCTACAGGAACTGCGCGCTCAGCCCCACCTGCCAGTGGTTTTCCTACAAGGAGGACAGCTACCCCACGAGCGGCGCCTGCTACATCTTCACCAAGGGGGATGTGGCCAAAGAGGCCGACCCCAAAGCCTACTCCGGCGGTAAGGCATGCGAGGAGCGATCTGAACGGATCTGAATCCGAGCCGAAGAGTGCTTGTTCTGGATAATGTGTGTCTTTCCCGAACAATTGACGACAAACGATTGCATTTGGTTGGTCTCCTTCTGCTTCCTCTACTGGGATAGGGTCGTACTTACGCTGGAGTTATAAGTGACTTAGCACTTAGCTTGGACTTATAAGTAACTTATCTTGAACTTAGAAAAGAGGTTTTTCTAAGTCCGCTAAGTTCATTCTAAGTTCATTGAGTTTGCAAACACATGCGTTTTGAAGCATGGCAGTGATGAAGCATTACGCGCTGGAAATCACACATTTTCGTGTGACTCAACGCAGCAGGGCAGGCGCGCGCGCGCATGCAGTTTACGCTGTTTGTTCGCGCTGCTTCGCACGCTTGGCTCGATGGAGCCGGAGCATTTTTTGCACTGATTGACTCGGTTTAATTTTGTTGTGCGATAATCGTTTCTATATAGTGTCTCCGCTGGCGGCCGGTCCGCCTTCATATAGTCGCATGGGGTGGTTTCTCCGCCGGCGGCCGGTCCGCCCATTTTGCTTTTCTCGTTTGATGATATATCATTGTAGCGGTGGTTCCGCTGGCGGCCGGTCCGCCAAGCTTTTTTTGCCACGTTCATTTTCATTTCGAGATGGCACTTGAAGCGGTTGTCCGCTGGCGGCTGGTCCGCCCAGGAATTGTTCGGCGTGATTTTTATTTCGAGATGGCACTTGAAGCGGTGGTCTGATGGCACCTTGCGATTTTTTGCATGTTTGGATTGTGAGTGCGCGGATGAAAGGCTGCAAGACTCAATCAAGGCTCCAGAATCCAGACTGCTGACTGCAAACTCCACACTCCAGACTGCAGACTCCAGACTGCAGACTCCAAACTGACTCCAGACTCCAGAGACTGCAGACTCCAGACTGCAGACTCCAGGCTGCAGACTCCAGACTGCAGACTCCAGACTGCAGACTCCAAACTGCAGACTCCGGACTGCGAACTCCAAACTCCAGACTGCAGACTCCAGACTGCAGACTTCAGACTGCAAACTCCAGACTCCAGACTGCAGACTCCAGACTGCAAACTCCAGGCTCCAGAGTGCAAACTCCAGACTCCAAACTGCAGACTCCAGACTGCAGACTCCAGACTGCAGACTGCAGACTCCAGACTGCAGACTTCAGACTGCAAACTCCAGACTCCAGACTGCAGACTCCAGACTGCAAACTCCAGGCTCCAGAGTGCAAACTCCAGACTCCAAACTGCAGACTCCAGACTGCAGACTCCAGACTGCAGACTGCAGACTCCAGACTGCAGACTCCAGACTGCAGACTCCAGACTCCAGACTGCAGACTCCAGGCTGCAGACTCCAGACTGCAGACTCCAGACTGCAGACTCCAGACTGCAGACTCCTGACTCCAGAATCCAGACTCCTGACTCCAGAATTCACAGTCCAGACCCCAGAATCCAGCATCCAGACAGCCCCGCCCCAAAGCCCGGAAAGGCCGGTGCAGTTTTTTCGAACTTAACAAAACTTAACTTAACTTAACCTGGGCGGGTCGTGTGGAGCCGTGGAGTCCCTATTGTAACTCAATCAACTTAACTGCCAAACTTTCCCCGTGAGGCCCAGTTGCGTCACCACGACTTAACATAACTTAACTTGGCCCCGTGGCCGAATTCCACCACAAAATGATCAGGATCCTGGAGCCAGGAGTCATTGTGTCTGGAATCTGGAATCTCGAGTCTGCAGTCTGGATTCTGGAGTTGGCAGTCTGGACTCTGCAGTCTGGAGTCTGCAGTCTGGAGTCTGCAGTCTGGAGTTTGCAGTCTGGAGTCTGGAGTTTGCAGTCTGGAGTCTGCAGTTTGGAGTCTGCAGTCTGGAGTCTGCAGTCTGGAGTGTGGAGTTTGCAGTCAGCAGTCTGGATTCTGGAGCCTTGATTGAGTCTTGCAGCCTTTCACCCGCGCACTCACAATCCAAACATGCAAAAAATCGCAAGGTGCCATCAGACCACCGCTTCAAGTGCCATCTCGAAATAAAAATCACGCCGAACAATTCCTGGGCGGACCAGCCGCCAGCGGACAACCGCTTCAAGTGCCATCTCGAAATGAAAATGAACGTGGCAAAAAAAGCTTGGCGGACCGGCCGCCAGCGGAACCACCGCTACAATGATATATCATCAAACGAGAAAAGCAAAATGGGCGGACCGGCCGCCGGCGGAGAAACCACCCCATGCGACTATATGAAGGCGGACCGGCCGCCAGCGGAGACACCGCTATAGAAACGATTATTGGACAACAAAATTAAACCGAGTCAATCAGTGCAAAAAATGCTCCGGCTCCATCGAGCCAAGCGTGCGAAGCAGCGCGAACAAACAGCGTAAACTGCATGCGCGATGGCTCACTGCGCGGTCCTGCCGCGATGGCTCACTGCGCGGTCCTGCCGCGATGGTCGCTGCGCGGTCCTGCCGCGATGGTCGTTGCGCGGTCCTGCCGCGATGGTCGCTGCGCGGTCCTGCCGCGATGGTCGCTGCGCGGTCCTGCCGCGATGGTCGCTGCGCGGTCCTGCCGCGATGGCTCGCTGCGCGGTCCTGCCGCGATGGCTCACTGCGCGGTCCTGCCGCGATGGTCGCTGCGCGGTCCTGCCGCGATGTGTTTTCCAAACATGGAAGCGGCCCCGCCGCCGCTACGCCGTGTTCCGCCCTGCGCGGTCTAGCCGGGAGCGACCGTACGTCTCGAAACATGATGCGCGCGCGCGTAGTCCGGTGTCAGGCTTTCTCTCTCGTTCAGCGATGTGGTCCGCAACATGTCACGGGTAGCGCACGCGTGCTTTTTCGCACGCAGGCAGACACGTAGACTCAGCGAGGTAGACGCGTTTGGGACATTGCTTCGCAAGCGCTGAATGACCGAAGGCTGTTTTCCTCAATATGGTGCTAAAAAGCTAAGTCCCAGCTAAGTTCATTCTAAGTCCCGGCACCCGGAACTTAGCTCGAACTTATAAGTGGGCCTATCTAAGTTAAACATAGACAAGTAACTTATAACTATCCTCGGACTTAGCAAACTTATAAGTCCACTTGTCCCACGTTATAAGTCCACTTGTAGTAACTTATAACTCAAGTTATAAGTACGACCCTATCCCAGTAGGACACCCCGCCCATCTTGATTGAAGAAGAGCGTTGGCAGTGAATGGAGGATATCAGGAATGTTTGACTTTTGTATCAATTTGAGAGGCTTTACTTTTGGAAGATGGCTCGTTGAAACGATTCAATTCGCGCACCTGACAGTCGTAGCCCCAGAAAAGAAGGGCCCACCTTTGCATGCCATGAACTGTTTTTGTTTTTCACTGGCTTGTCCAAAACCAACTGTTTATTTGTTGTTTTCGTGAAGAGGTGGGAGGTCAAAGTAAGTGCTGGATCTTCCAAGAGCTCAATTCAATTGAACCAGCAGTGGCAGGTAAATATCCTTTGACTCCCAGTCCGACTTGGGCGGTGGCATGTGAACAGGACGGCACCACCATCCTCACCGATGCCACCGATGCTGCTGCAGGCGTCGCTTCCAACTTGCAGGACTTGGCGTGAGTCAGTGGTCGTATCTCCCAATTGAAAGTGAGGGGTGCTCCCGCCAAACCAATGTCTCAAACCTGTCCTGTAATTGTCAGGAGGGCGCCAACGGTGCTGCAGCCGACATGGCGAATGCTGTGAACGGACAGTTGAATGGCATCCAGGAGCGTTGCGGCAATGCATAGAGGTCTCGCCTCGCCACATCATACTTTTGAGCCAAATAGTTTGACCTTGATTGAAGGAGGTTTGTTCAGCTCAATCGCTTTGATGCCTTGCTTGCCTTTGTGCATGGTCTATGGATTCCAAGTGTGAGCAGTTGTCAGACGCAAATATGCTCTATGGCAACCCTCCTCCCACGTCGCAACTGTCTCAGCCAGGGTTGTTCAACATGTGCCCCGCCACGGCCAGAAGCCAAAAGAAGGTTGTTCAACGTATGTAAGCAAGGGCTTAGCCCGACCTGCCTTCCCCGTCTCCCCCCCCCCACCCCATCCGACCAAGGCCTCATTTATCTTATTCTGGGGTTGAGTTCCTTCTGCGAGGAGGGCGCCAACGGCGCTGCGGCCACTGTAGCGGACGGCTTGAACGGGCTCCAGGAGCGTTGATTGCCTCAGGCCAAGCTTGAGAAGCCGCAGAACCATGAAGGTCAATAGCGCTGATGATGTTCAACTGATGCCAAGTTTGGCTTTGACTCGAGTGGTGGGAGATGCCTTTTCATGGATCTCCGATGTGGTGTGACAACCCATGGCATTACTGCCACGACAGGTAAACGCCAATTGCACCGATATTTCTAGGTGGTGGTTCTTTGTGAGCGTTTTCGTTCATTTGTCTTTTGCTGCTTGTCGAAGAGAACAAGGTTGCAGCCTTTTTGCTCTAGCGAGCGACATTTGTCTACGTGGACAGCACCCTTCTGTTGCCCGCCTCTGTGCCCTTGGCCGCCATGTCTACCATGTTGCTAGTGCCGCAGCGTGCTAGTTTCACGCAGCTGGCTCTTGGGCCATCTTTGGTCTGGATCTGGCGATTGCGTTGGTGATCTCTTCTGCTGCGCTCTCGACACAGCAACTGCAGTTTTGCGGCTCATTTTGCCATCTGGTTGTCAGTGATGTTCCTGGCGTGGATGTCAAGCGCGGATGGCGCCCACACTCGGTTGGTGTTGTGTGATGTCGGTGCTGCGTTTTGCAGGGCCGCTGTTGCGCAACGAGGTGAAAGTTCAAGCGTTACTCCGCTGCCCGTTCTGGAAGCAGCAGAGCAGTCGAGCTGGACCTGCCAACGCTTGCTTCGTGCACTCCATTTGTGAGAAGCAGGTCGCGAGTTCTTCAGCTGCTGTAGAGTTGTAACCGTGTACCTGGGGCATCTGCAAAACCTTGCAGCGCCGGAAAACGGGATCAATCCCATTCGCAACACACACACACACACACACTCTTCCAGTTGAAGCCAGCGGAACAGGAAGCCCAAGCATGGCTGATGAAACTAGTATAGTGATCATCTATTAGTCCCCTCTCAGTGCATCTCTGCGGTGAGGCAAGTCATTTCCACTTCGCCTGCGTTTCCTTGACGACGGTTGCTTTCTCCACCGCCCATCTCAAGAGTATTCCGCTAAAAGGTGACATGTTTCGTGGCTCCCGTCCGACTCAAGCCCCGCCCTTTCAACCTTTTTTTCCTACCCGAAAGCCAGGGTAGGGCAGCGCTGCTTTGACGACCTAGCTTGCAAACCCTGAAACCTGCCGCCAACTAAGCTAACCCATCAGGAGTGGTTGAACGAAGGGCAAGTTCCATTGATACCCATGTTATTACAGTACTCAGGTTTTGATATGACTCAAGTGGCAGGGGTGGTGGTGCAAATGGTTTCTATGAAGTCGTCATTTCAGGAGGGCGCCACCGGCGCTGCGGCCGACATGCAGAACGCCGTGAATGGCCAGGTGAATAGCCTCCAGGCGTGGAAGCCCCAAGACGATCTTTTTGGACCTGGCTGATTGGAGGGGGCCCAGGCTCAACCATGGCATCTGCGGCTTTTTGTTTGTTTTGGACGTTTTCTGCTCACCCATGCGGAGTTTTAGTTCGGGAGCCGTCACCACATGCTGCAGATGTATAGCAGCGCCTGTTTATGGCAAATGAGAACCAAGCAAAATGCGCCTCCTTTCATATTCTTTTGGGTGAAGACAGGGGCTCGTGATATTTCCAAGGTGTCCAGAACTTCATGAGGGGCCAGCCATGGGGGAAGAGCTTTGTGCGGGGTGAGATGCCTTGATTCCAGGAGGGCGCCAACGGCGCTATGAACTCCATCTCCAACACGTTTTCGTCAGCAGGTGCGGATGGGCATGACAGCTCAAACCCCGGCGGGCAGCTCAAACCCCCGGCATGACAGGTCCGGCGGCTTCCCCTTCCGTTTCTCCTTTTTCGTTAAGGGCTGCAAAGTTCAGGGTGTCAATCATTGCTAGCCCACTGGACATGAAGGCTCATGTTTTCAAGCATCCAGAAGGCGCTCCTTTCTCCAGGCGATCACCTCACGGAGACGGCCAACCAGGCGGCAGACCAGGTCGGAGCCACTTTCAAGGGCGAAGGGGCCAGTGGCAAGGCCATGGCCGCCGGCAGCCAGGGTGGGCAGCTCGCCTTCTTATCAAACGGTTGCTTCTTGGTTCTTGGTTCGTGATGTTTTCCCGATATATTATACATATATGTTTAAATAATATATATATATATATATATGTCTGATGTGTGCCCTATTCTGTTCATTTCTGTGTTTGCACTTATCCGGTTTAGTTGCGAACAGTTGTTTGGCGACATACCGGCGTCCCAACTCAAAGTGCATTGCATTAGTTTGTATTTTTTTGGCGGAGCTGCAATTGTGGACCAAGCTCGCTCATCCTCGGCGCCTGTTGTTGAAGTTGGCCCATGGAAATTATGCGTGGTAAGCGCGTGTGTAACTCTCATTCTCTCAGTGCACCCGGGATGCCGCGACGTCTGAACAATTTTCCATGCCTTCCGTGTTTGATAATATGTTGCCTCATGTTAACACGACACGTGCTTGCAATTGCACGGTCCGCGGCCAACGCCCAAGGGAGAACACGACGTCGTATGCGATGATTGGCGGCGGCTTGGCAGCAGCTCTCGCTGCCGCGGGCGCTTTCGTCATGATGGAGAGCGAGGGCTCGGGGAAGAAGCCGAAGAAGACGCGCAGCGTGCCCAAAGGCGGGGCGCGGGGCGCGGGGCGCGGGGCGTGTTTTGCAGCGGACAGTAAGACAAAAATATACACAATAGCGGCCTGGCGCAATGCTGGTTGCTGAACTTAGTGGGGCATGAGAGGGTGTGTCGTCTTTGGGTTGCTGCGAGCGTCAGGTCTTGAATCCGTTCTCTCGCCTGTTTGCAGCTTGCGGCAGGCGGATAGGTTGATCGGCAATTCAGTGAACAGCGCTCAACACTCGCTGTTGGCCAATGGACCTGGCAGGAATTTGAGAATGAGCCATCAAAGTCAATAGTTTTCGGGTTCGCCTTGCTAGTGTGGTCTCGAGCATCGATATTTGGCCCAATCAATAAATTGATTAGCAACTCTGGCTACACCCAGGCTGGTTCAGAGGTTTAGAAGTAGGTTGCAATTATAGCCCTTGACTAAGTTCACCCAATTATACACCTGCCAGCAGCCTGCAGCGGCACACAGTACTTTGCAACAGCAATGCGGCAGCATCCACAGCACCTTGCGCAACAGCTCACTACTACTATTTTTCCTGCAACCGCACCCTACGCAACCTTCTGCAATAGCACTGTGCAGCGGCCTCCTGTGCAACAGCATCTGGCAACAGCTTCTTGCCCAACTCTCAGTCGCACTTGGGAGCGTCGCGGGTTATGCAAGGGCTGTTGTGCGCAGGGTGCTGGTGCTGCAAAGAAGGGTGATAGAAGGGTGTTAGTTTAGCGTCAGCGCTCCCAAATGTGTGTCCACTTGCCTTGCATTTTTTCCCAGTCAGGTTCGCCCACTTTGTGACTCCGAATGCCAAATACAGTTCTCGCTGGGGTGTGCGCTGGTGTGCCGTTTTGGGCGAGTGTTCGATCCGCCCGGGAAACTCACGACTCACGAGGCGCGGCCAAGACTGCCGATGTCGTTGACGCTGAGGCGTGCATTCGACGGGGGGCCGTGGGACGTGATTGCACCCCATCTCCATCTCCATTGGGCTTCAAAACGAGGAGTTCGTCAGGAATGATTGCTGCACCAGTGTTGCAAGACTGCATTCCCTGTTAGCGCTAGGCTAATTCCTCGCTTGAGATGGGAATCTAGTCATTGGGACGGCTTGCCCGTTTGCCCGTTTGCCCAGTGGTACTCTTAAAAGCAACATACTCGGCTTGTCTGAAGCCGCCAGACCAGCTGTCCACACGCAGATATTGAGTTATTGAACGCATTTTGTGTAGATGCGGAAAGAAGCATGGTCGTGTGAATTTGTCCCAGCTGTCCAGCTCTGGCCAGCCAGCCCCCCCTTGCAAGTTCCACCCACAGAGCAGGGCCTTGAATGTAGGCCCGAGTGTACGCCTGGATGTTATCACAATGTCATCATACTTGTTCAGTGTCACCTTGCGGTGTGCGGTGCTTGCGACAGCCAGCTTTGGGCATAAGCGCGAACGGCAGCTGCGGAGCTTGGCGTGTGCTGATTTCCCACTTGTCTTCGGCTTTTCCGAGAGTTGCAAGTTTGTTTGTAGTCCAGCGCCTGCAGTGGGGTTGGGCGGAGTGCTTTTGGACTTGGCTGAAGCAGCTGCCTTCATTGGGTCTTGCTCATCAATGTGAAGTGGCGAATGGTGCAAACAATCAAAGCTGAGTCCAAGTCTTCGGGCACTTCTCCGAGTCGGTCCGTAGGCAGCCCTTTCTGCGGCCAGCTCCGGCCTGCAGATGGCGGCACCGACCTACTCCGTGCCGGCGCCGCAGCCCATGCGCCCCGGCCAAGCGAAGTCGTTTTGCTGCTGACCCAAACAAGTCCGTTATATTCCATGTGTCCTGGCAGTGTTTCACCCAGGATGATTTGTCGAGCGCTGAGGACCTACCAGCAGCCGGCCTACCAGCCGATGACCTACCAGCCGGCCAGCTACCAGCCGGCCAGCTACCTGCAGACGGCCATGCCCGCGGCGCAGCCCATGACACTGGGTCAACACCTGGCAACATGTTTGAGATATGTTGGGCCGACCTGTAAAAAACGTGCTTTTTTGAACGGGACACTTCACCTAGCTTTACCTGGCGTAAGAGTACGATGGGGTTCCTGGTGAGTTGCTCATAGGATGCTGTTGCCCTGGTGAAGCCTGGAGTTAGAGGTGCTCAAATTTGGGCGGGAAGTCAACTGTCAATTTGTCTGCAAGTGTCATCAGCATACACAGGACCTACCAGGCTGCTCCCGCCTACCAGCCAGCCTCCATGGCGGCCTCTGCCTACCAGGCCGTGCCGACCTACCAGGTCCAGTGAGTGAGCCACAAGCTCCATGCGGCGCCGAGCCCGAAGTCTTGCTCCCGTTAACAACAAGAATATGAAACAATTATGTATATATATATATATACATAGAAGGTGAAGTCTTCGCATGAGTTGCCACAGCTTAGAGTTTTGTGCTGGGGTAAGCAGCGGACCAGGCCTTTATTTGTTCTAGCTTCCCTTGCACCGAGAGCTCAATTGGTATCGAAGTACACCAGCTCTCGGGATTGAACTGCTTGCTGACAGTCTCCTTGTGTCTTTGTTGGCCGACTTGGATCGCCCCGAAACCTCCTAGTCAGGGAGCCCGCCGAGCACTGAGCATTATGTTTTTTCCAGTGATAACATGTGTAGAGCAAAAAAACACATAAGTCCTTACACCAGCCGAATGGCTGAACGATTTGTTTGTTAGCGCCAAGTCAGGCTCTTTTCTGGATGATACCAACCCATGGCCATGCTTTGCTCGTGCATGGTGCTGGAAGCGATCCTGCCGGACTGTCCAGAGAAATGACAATCACTAAGTACGATAGACGCCTGAAAAGCTGGTCTTTTGCCTCGTGTGAGCAGTTGCGGATTGAGGTTGTGCGCCGCAGTTTTCAGCTTCAGATCGAGCCCATCCCCCGCCTTTTTGACCATGGCGATGCGAGTGCTCCTGTTGGCCCCGGCCCTGGCTGCGGGATTCTGCCTGGAGAAGGGCATGCTCTCCAAGGCAGGGCTGACATGCCAGTAGAGTGAAGGGAAGGGTCAATGTTGGGAGGACTTTAAAGGCAGCACGACCCGCAATCCGCCAAAGGCCCGGTGTTTTTGTTGACTCGCAAATGCGCCGGGTTCGCCCAGTTGCAGATGCGTGCCAAGGGGTTCTTTGGCGCCTGCATTTCGTTTTTACGGCATTGAAGCCAGCCCGAGGCCAGCGTCAAGCAATCTGGAACCGAAGATAGCAAAACCGCCCAAAACCTAAGTTGGCTTACAAGCATTTGTAACTCTCACTAGCCAGGTTGGTGCGATCGAACGTCCACTGCTCACTTGAGAAGGGACCCACTTGACAAGGGTTTTGGGGCGCCGGGTGCCGGCGGCCCGTGTCAGGACCCTTCAGCGCCACTGCCCGCGCTGTACTTCAAGACCCTGAAAGAGTGCGCGAAGAGCCCCGGCTGCCAAAGTGACTCAACCACCTGGATTCAATGCGAAGCAAGGCCCCTTTTTCCACGCGGCTCGCAAAAATGGGTAGCCAATGGAACAAGTGCCAGACGAGGCAGGAATGAACAGGCAAGGGGCGGTCTGAGGAGTCCATGGAGAAGCCAAAGCACTTCTCAGGGAGCCTTTGGCCACCAAGTGCTTTGAAGGTTTGCTGCCGCCACGATGGCCTGCAATGCTTGGGATTTCAACATGTTGTAACCAACATGCCAGCTGGTTTGATGATGACGGGACAATACGCCCTGGAAAATATGTACATAATTGAAAGTCTGTCGGTGGTTCGGTTTGCTACAGGAACTGCGCGCTCAGCCCCACCTGCCAGTGGTTTTCCTACAAGGAGGACAGCTACCCCACGAGCGGCGCCTGCTACATCTTCACCAAGGGGGATGTGGCCAAAGAGGCCGACCCCAAAGCCTACTCCGGTGGTAAGGCATGCGAGGAGCGATCTGAATCCGAGCCGAAGAGTGCTTGTTCTGGATAATGCATGTGTTTCCAGAACACTTAACCTGGATCCTTCTGCTTCCTCTTCTTAGCCAAAATAGGCTCCCATGGTTAGGATACCCCCGCCTCTTGATTGAAGATGGCAGATGGCTCGTTCATTTCATTCAATTCTCGAACCCTGCCAGTCGTAGCCCCTCAAAAGAAGGGCCCAACATGCCATGAGCTGTTTTTGTTAACTGGCTTGTACAAAACCAACCTGTTGCTTGTTGCCTTGGTGAAGAGGTGGCTGGAGCCAACATACATATTGAATCTTCCAGAATCTGTCCTATTTTCATGTTCAGTGGAACCATATGCCCAGCATTGAACCATCAGGGGCAGGTTGATGTCCATTGAATCCCAATCCGATTTGGGCCGTGACCTGCCTTCAGCGCTAGGACGGCACCACCATCCTCACCGATGCCGCGGATGCTGCCGCAGGCGTGGCTTCCAACTTGCAGGACGGCTTGTGGGAAGTGGGGCGCAGGCAAAAACGCGTTCGCTGAGCCGAGCAAAGCGTAGCTTGGTTGACTGCCTGCGTGCAGGGTATGTTCTCAGTCACAGGCTCCCAGCCCAAGCTTCCCTCAACAAAGTCAAAGCTTGCCGCCGCCGTTATGCGCTGGGCAACCTCTTAAGACGATGATTGGTGGCTGCACTCCCGTTGTTCGGCCCACCCACGCAGTCGCACTTGGGGAAGAAGGACAGAGCCTGCTTGTAAGCCAAGCTCTCAACCAGTGCTGTACTTTTCAGGAGGGCGCCAATGGTGCTGCGGCCGACGTGGCGAATGCTGTGAACGGCCAGTTGAATGGCATCCAGGAGCGGTTGAGGCCACACATAGAGGTCTCCCCTCGCCGAGGTAGACGGCGGGTGAGCCAAATAGTTTGACCTTGATTGGAGGGGTTCGTTCATCTATGTTCATCTCAATAGCTTTGATGCCTCGCTTGCCTGTGCACATGTTCTATGGATGCTGAGTGTGAGCAACTTTGAGGCCAATATAAGTTGGGAGGGTTGGGAGCCCAGGCTCCAGAAAGTCCGATGTCGCGTGACTGAACTGATGTCGTTGCAGCTGACTGGGCAGAGTTGCCCATGTTTGTCGCAGCTGGACCACGCCCCCTCTGAGAGCCAAAAGAGATTTTCCCAAAGGCAAATGAGTTCAACGTGTTTAAACAAGGGATTGGGGCGACGCCTCCCGCCCAAGGCCTCATTTGTCTCATTTCAAGATATATTTCAAGGGGGATGGAGCTTGGGGTTGAGTTCACTTGACATCAAGGAGGGCGCCAACGGAGCTGCGGCCACCGTGGCGGATGGCTTGAACGGCATTCAGGAGCGAGTAAGCCTGTAAGCAGCGGCAACTGCCCAACCTCTTTCACAGGGATCGGAGATAGAGGGGCATGTTTGAACTTGAGATATTTGCCCACATGGTGTTGTTTTTCTTGGTTTGAAGTTCTGGCGATGTTCTGGCAGCCAAAGGTTGTGTCCTTGCACCAGTAACGAGATTGAACGCGTTCAAACGAAAAATCAAAGCTCGTTGAGAAGGAAACCTGCGATGAGGTGGCCACCGAACCTTTGGCGCAAAATTTGCCAAGGGATGTTAGGACTGAACAACTTTCTGCCAACGAATGGGTTTTCCGCATTAAACCACCAAAAGTTAAACTTTAGCAGGGGAGCAGAAAGCAACCGAGGAAGTTTGAGGCTGCCAAAGTGCACGCTGCGCACAGCCCGTGAGCGGGCATGCTGCATTTTCGTGAGCCGGAGCTGTGGGGCTCGGAAATTCGGAAAGGAGGCAACTTTGGCTGCCGTGATTTTGGCATTTGCTAAGACGCTCCCTGCATGGCCCGGCCTTCCGACGGTCGGCACTGGGTGTTGTCAGGGGTTGGAGCGGCTTGCTCCGCAGACCCGCCACCGACCCCCTGCACAGGGCGGGGACATCGCAGGGGACCTACTTCAGAGCGCGCAAGTTGACCTGTGCTTCGCTTACAGCGCCCGTATTCATGTGCGAAGTTCGAGATGCCAAGGTTTATGTCTTATACTTACTACAATTGTAATAATGAACAGTTTCAATTCTGGAGCCAGAGTTGCCACGGTGTAGTTTGTTTATTTCACTCGCGTGCAGCACTGCAGCAAATTACAGGAGCCGCCAACGCGTACTTCGCGCACTCCACTTGTGAAGAGAAGTCGCGAGTTCTCGAGCTAGAGCTGCAATCACATACTCAAGCTATGGTCAAAGCCCTCCAGCGCTGGAAAGCGCGATCACCCACATTCTCAAGATACACTCTAGTCGAAACTAGCAAAACAGGGAGCCCACCCAAGCAAATTGCATCCAGGCTGCCCGTCAATCCGTCCCTTCAAAGTGGATCTCAGTGTTCTTAGCCCGGCAGGTCCCCGTGAAGCGTCGCAGATCAATTCATATCGTCGCAGCTCAGTATGAATTGAACAGTGCCCCACCGGCCGGCGAGGCAAATCTCACTTGCGCCCGTGCTTTCTTGGTTGTTTCCACCTGTCCTAGATCTGTTGCTTGTCAGTGCCAAACAACATGTGAGAGATCATGCTTCGCTCGCCCAACAGCGAAGTGTTCCATGCGTCGCTTTACATGGGTCAGAGCAGGGCCACATTTTGAACTTTCAACAAGTTCTCCCCACAAGGCGCAAGGGGCCCCAACGAAGGCCTCATTCGGGAAAGTGGGCCAGCCGGAGAGGACGGCGCCAGCGGCGCTGCGGCCGACGCGCAGAACGCCGTGACTGGCGCTGCGACTGATGCGCAGAACGCCCTGACTGGCCACTTGAATGGCCTCCAGGAGCGGTTGAGGCCTTGACGCAAGGTCTCGCCCCAAGCGCTCGGAGGCAAGGGGTACCGTGTGGCTTGGGGGTTTCGGCATTGTTCAGCGATGCCGAGCTTGACTCATTAAGAGCAAGCTCCCTTCTGAATTATTCCTTGAATACATGGGCTGGTATTTGTTCAATGATTTTCCCGGACCCAAAAGGTGTGCCAGAACCCATGGGAGACAAGCTTTGTGCGGGGTGAGATGCCGTGATTCCAGGACGGCGCCAACGGTGCTGTGAACTCCATCTCCAACGCATTTTCGTCAGCAGGCGCGGATGGACATGACAGCTCAAGACCCGGTCCGGCGCCCCCCCCTCCCCCCCGTTTCTCCGTTTTCGTACAGGGGTGCAAAGTTTCAGAGTAGGATTTCCGGGGTGCCCAAGAATCGATGACGATGCGCGACGACGCTTGACGATGCTTGATGATGCTTGAAGATGCGTGACGACGCTTGACAACGCGTAAAGGCTGGTCCACGGTGAGTCTGGTTGGGGGCTCTACCAGAATGTTTTGCTTGCTTGCTTGCTTGCTTGCTTGCTTGCTTGCTTGCTTGCTTGCTTGCTTGCTTGCTTGCTTGCTTGCTTGCTTGCTTGCTTTGCTTGCTTTGCTTTGCTTTGCTTTGCTTTGCTTTGCTTTGCTTTGCTTTGCTTTGCTTGCTTGCTTGCTTGCTTCCTTGTGCTCTCCGGTAACGCTTCAGTGCTCCTCCAAAGAGAATCACTAGAGGAGAGAGGAGCATTCGCTCAGCACTGGAGGAGCAGAGGAGGATGGGCGACCTCCAGGGCGGAACCAGCCCAAAAACGTAGGAAATCGGAAGGCTCCGCATGGCCCTTGCAGGTGATCACATGTGACAAACGAAAGTTCGGCCCTCTTTTGCTGAGGCACGAAAGCTTCCGTGCCCTGCAGAGCAGGAGCATTGGAGAAGCTCTCGTTGAGCACTAGCAGAGCATCAGAGGGAACACTACAGGAGCACCACAGGAGCACCGAAGGAGACCTATACAGAGCGCAAGAGGAGCACTAGAGGATCACTAGAGGAGCTTTTGACGAGCACCAGAGGAAGCACTCGGGTGCAAAGTTTCAGGGCCACTGGTGCATGACAGCTCATGTTGCTCCAGGTGATCACCTCACGGAGTCGGCCAACCAAGCGGCAGACCACATCGGTGCCACTTTCAAGGGCGAAGGGGCCAGTGGCAAGGCCATGGCTGCCGGCAGCCAGGGTGGGCACCTCGTTGTAGAGACGGGGTGAAGGTTGCATTTTTGTGCATTTCTTGTATGTTCTCGCCTTTTACATATTTACTCTTCGTGTTGTTTCTGTTCATTTCCGGCTTTTGAGTGTTTGGCTGTTTGGGCCGGTTTTGTTCGGAACAGTTGTTTGGTGACATACCGCAGGGGCCTAACCCAACGTGAACTGCACTTTTGTTTTTTTTGATTTCTTCTGTGCTATCCCTAATTGCAGACCAGGTTTGCTCATCTTGGGAACATCTCTTGCAATTGCGCGAACTGCAGCCCAACGCATGCCGAGGGACAACACGGCGCTGTATGCCATCGTGGGCGGCGGCGTGGGGGCAGCGCTCATTGCCGCGGGAGCCTTCGCCATGATGGGCGACGGCTCGGAGAAGAAGCCGAAGAAGAAGCGCAGCGTGCCCAAAGGCGGGGCACACAGCAGTCTGCGGCGCGTTTCGCATAAAGCGGGTGGCAACCTTGGAGTCAAACAAACAGATAAACAGTAGAGTTGTCGCGCGCTTGCCGAACTTAGTCGGCCATTCGAGTCAATAGTTTTCGGGGAGTCCCCTTGCCCGTGTCTCGAGAATTGATATCTGACCCAGTCAATATCCGACTGGCAACCCTGGCTACTGTTTAGAAGTGGGGTGCAACCATGGCTGCTAGCCCATAACCAAGCTCACAACGAACATCCGAGCAGAACCCTTCATGGTACCGCATGCGACTGAGAGTTGAGCAAGACAGCAGGACGCCGTCGCCGGACGCTGTTGTGCCGGGTTGGTGCTGCAAAGCAGGGCGTTACTGCAGCGTCAGTGCCCTGCCTGTTTCCATTTATGTTGTACCTACAGTTCTCAGTCAGGGTTGTGAATAACTCCCAATTCCAATGACACTTGTTGCTACGTGGAGTCTACACTGGTGTATCGTTTCGGGCATGAGGCGAGGCCCGCGAAGTCAACATTGACGCTGAGGCGCGCCGGGAGACATTGACATGCATGCGAAAAGGCGGGTCAACTGAACACGCCGTGTATGCCAAGAGCACATGGGGTGACTGGTGGCCCTTGCGGCCTTTTCTTGCTTGCATCCATATGGGTGTGGGTCAAAATTAAACCACCAGGGGACCACAGGGTTTAGTCATTGTTTCCATTTCCCAGGGTGCCATTTTGGGTACCTACTTTTGACCCATAGCCATATGAATATGTATCGGACAAGTTTCTCAAATGGTCGAGCAACTCCGGGGGCCCGGAGTTTCTTAGCATGAGCAGTTGGCAACCTTATGCGTTGCTTGCGCTGTAGATATTATCCGTGCAATTGGCTGTGGGTCAAAACCAATGGTACCATTTTGGGGTATGCAACCACCCATTTTAGTCTATTTTAGAGTGGGGATTAGGATGTTCACGGGATTTTGACCCATGGCCGCACTTCTGGGAGCGCTTCTTAAGCTTCGGTGGTGTTCTTAAAAGTGCAACATACTCGGCTTGTCTGAAGTCGCCAGACCAACTTTCCGCATGTAGATATTGTGTGTCTAGATTCATTTTCACGCATATGCGGAACTATGCGGAAAGCAGCATGTTGTGACCATGTCGTCATAGCTTTTCAGAGTCACCTTGTGTCGTGCGGAGTTGGGAACAGCCAGCTTTGGGCATAGTTAGAACAGCGGGAGCTTGGCGCGGGCTCTTGCCTTCGGCTGAATCGCAAGTTGCTAGGGCCCGCGCCAGAGGGCTGGAAGACTGGCACGAGGGCTGGAAGAGTTGTTTGTGTTCTTAGTTTTCTTGGGCCAATGTTTTTGGACTTGGCTGAAACAGCTGCCTTCAATGAGTCTTGCTCAGCAATATGAAGTGGCGAACGTCGCAAACACTCGAAGCTGGGTCCAAGTCTTGGGGCACTCCGAGTCGGTCCGTAGGCCGCCCTTTCTGCAGCCAGCTCCGGCCTGCAGATGGCGGCACCGAGCTACTCCGTGCCGGCACCGCAGCCCATGCGCCCCGGCCAAGCGAAGTCGTTTTGCTGCTGACCCAAACAAGTCCGTTATATTCCATGTGTCCTGGCAGTGTTTCACCCAGGATGATTTGTCGAGCGCTGAGGACCTACCAGCAGCCGGCCTACCAGCCGATGACCTACCAGCCGGCCAGCTACCAGCCGGCCAGCTACCAGCAGACGGCCATGCCCGCGGCGCAGCCCATGACGCTGGGTCAACACCTGGCAACATGTTTGACATATGTTGGGCCGACCTCCGAAACGCGTGCTTTTTTTGAACGGGACACTTCACCTAGCTTTACCTGGCGTAGTTGCCGTAAGAGTACGATGGGGTTCCTGGTGAGTTGTTCATAGGATGCTGTTGCCCTGGTGATGTCATTTTCGTGCTCAATTTAGGGTGGGAAGTCAAACTGCAATCTGTTTGCAAGTGGCATCCAAACTGTGGAAAAGTTTCACGTCCACAGCGGTCAGCATGCCCAGGACCTACCAGGCTGCTCCCGCCTACCAGCCAGCCTCCATGGCGGCCTCTGCCTACCAGGCGGTGCCGACCTACCAGGTCCAGTGAGTGAGCCACGAGCTCGAGCCCAACTGGCCTTTGTTTTCCATACGCCGAGTCCGAAGTCTTGCTCCGTTTCACGTATCATGTACGTATATGATATGAATATGGTACATGAAGAGTATATATATATATATATATATGTCATTGCGAATTTTGCCATGAAATCTGATCTCAAGTCTTGGCATGACTTGCCCAATCTTAGAGTTCTGTGTTGGGGCAAGCAGCGGACAAGGCCTTTACTGATTCTAGCTTAGCTTCCCTTGCACTGAGAGCTTGGTAATCGAAGTACACCGGCTCTCGAACTATGTGCTGACTATCTCCTGGTCTTTTTGTGGCCGACTTGGATCGCATCGAAACCTCCTGAGTAGGGAGCCTACTGAGCACTGAGCGCGAAGCTTCGTGTAATCTTCGAACGATAGCACTTGCATAGCAGCATGACACATGAGGCTATAGACACCGGACATCGTCAATCAGACTATTTGTGTTGATACCTGTCGTTTGGCAATGGCAGTTTCGTGTCCGGACAGCATATTAGGTGTGTTTCATGAGGAGGGAACAATGACCGCCAGGGAATGCTATGGTTCTTGGATCATAACGTGTTCCAGAGAAGCAGGGTTTGAGGAAGCAACTTTCTGCCGTTCTGATAGCCAGGCTAAAACTGGAAGCTACATGGATCAGTGACTTCTTTGTTAATTAGCGCGAAGTCCGAATGCATTTCTGGATGATACCAACCCATGCACTGCTCGCGCACAGCTCTGAAAGCGATCCTGGCGGACTGTCCAGAGAGGCAACAAGCACAGTCTCTGAAAGTACCTTAGATGCCTGAAAAGCTGGTCCGAGCGGCAGTCCTTGTGACAGCGATTACTCGTTACCGTCCAAGCCAGGTTGAGCGCTTGGCTTGCAGTTTTCAGATTTAGAGCGAGCCCATCCCCCGCCCTTTTCGAGCAAAACCATGGCGCTCCGAGCGCTCCTGTTGGCCCCGGCCCTGGCTGCGGGCACCTGCCTGGAGAGCGGCATGCTCTCCAAGGCCAGGGGCTGACACCTGCGAAAACGCCACAACCGCGTGCATTTGCAAAGGCCCCGTTTTTTGGGGGACAAGCCATGTTCACCCAGTGGCCGCATGTCAAGGAGTCGTCAAGATGCCCATTCTGGCATTGAAGCTGAGCCATGGCCCACAAGCAAGCTGTAGCCAAAGATCGTGCGACCACCCAGAACCTCAGTTGGCCATGTCAGGGTTCTTCACTCCTAGCCTTTGTAACTCTCACCAAACGTCAGCTCCTTTGACAAGGGCCCCACTTGAGACATTCTTTGGCCGCCAAGAAATGCGTTCCGCACACGAGGGACAACCCAGCCATGTCAGGATCCTTCAGCGCCGTTGCCTGCGCTGTACTTCAAGACCGTGAACGAGTGCGCGAAGAGCCCCGGCTGTCCAAGTGGCTCAATCGATTCAAATGTATTAGATCAGTCAGATCCTTGTCGAGGATTGTGTTCGGCCCCGTTTAATGCACTGTTTGAAAAAATGGGCAGCCACTGGAACAGGTGCCAAACGACACACGAATGAACAGGCAGGGATAAGTCTAAGGTTGAACTCATGGAAAAGCCAAAGCTCTGCTCAGGGACCTTTTTCAGCACTTGATGCTCACAATGGAGCCCCTTTGTCGCAGCCCCGAGTTGCAGAGATTGACTCGCAGATTGCAATGGATGGGCCGAGTGGTCCTCTCTCAAGCTTTTTAGGTGATGGGTTTGCTACAGGAGCTGCGAGACCAACCCCCTCTGCCAGTGGTTTTCCTTCAAGGAGGACAGCTACCCCACGAACGGCGCCTGCTACATCTTCACCAAGACGGATGTGGCCAAAGAGGCCGACCCCAAAGCCTTCTCCGGGGCCAAGGGATGCAAGGCGCGATCGGAGTTCGAGCCGAAGAGGGTTTCTTCTTGAGGAAATATGTGTTGCCAGAATCAAGTGGCCCCTTCTGCTTCCCCTTCAAATAGCCAGGAGTTAGGCCCGGGTTCCCATTTGTTTGGATTGAAGAAGGACGTTGGCGCTGAAAGCAGTGTTTGACTTTCGCATCCGTTGAGAGGCTCACTTTCGGCGAATGGCTCTTCAATCCATTGGAACGACAGTCAAAGACCCTAGAAAGGGTCCGCACCAATGCGAGAGGGGTCCGCCACAATATCCCTTTTTTCTGTTTTGCTTTTTTTGCTGGCTCCATTTGTTGTCTTAGTGAAGTGGCTGAGTGTTGAGCCGTGTTTTTTGGCCCACGTTCAATCGTATGGCCCCAAGCAGGTTCTCCTTGGGACCCAGTCCGATTTGGGCTGTGCCTTCTTCAGCTCCACAGGATCTCACCGTCCTCACTGATGCCGCCAATGCTGCCGCGGGCGTGGCTTCCAACTTGCAGGACGAACGTGTGAGTCAGGGGTCTCCCCCATAAAAGCGACGGCTGTACCAATCAGCACAGGAATATGCAGGGAGGGAGATGTTGAATCTCAACCTGTCCTATGAATTTAGGAGGGTGCCAACGGTGCTGCGGCCGACGTGGCGGGTGCCATGAATGGCCAGTTGAACAGCCTTCAACAGCAGTTGCAGCAGCGCAGACGTCTCGCCTCACTACTGGGTGAGACGTTGACTTTGATCAGTGATAGCAGCTACATGATGCCCTGCCTGTGCTGTTGATGCTGAGTTGTTATGATTGAGATGAGCAGCAGTCAAAAACACCACAACAAATGTGGTGTATGTATATGTATATATATATATATGCTGACCCCCCCCCCCCATGATCCACATTTGGCATTGTTGCATTGTGTGGTCTCAGCTGTGGCTCCTGATCTGCTCATCAAGAATGATGCGCGTTTTTGACCCAAGTTTCTAGGATCAGAATCTGATCCTGGAATAGGTGGTCAAAAACAAGCATTTTACCTGTGGTTTTCCAGTGTTTTTGCTGGTTTCTGGTTTTTGCGACATCACTGATCAGCCAGCCAGCTGGGGAATCTGCACCAGCTTGCATTGCTCTCAGGGCACGATGCCGCAGCCTTTACCGCCAGTTGCTTGGGTTGATGACTTGGTGCTTCTTGTTGAGTCTGAGAGTGATGAGAGCCTCATTGAACAGCTTGGGCAGCTTGTTTGTATTGTTGATCAAGCCGCTGCTGAAGCTGGCCTGGAGCTCAACATGTCCAGTGGCAAAACTGAAGCAATTCTCAATTTCTCTGGAAGCGGGGCTGCCAAGTCGCGAAGAACCGTTCTCATTGATCAGTGTGCGCAGATTACGGTTGTTGGTCCAGAGGGGGCTGAGACCAAACTGCGTGTTGCGCCCGAGTACAAACACCTTGGGCAAATACTTACGCCCGACGCCGGCGTTGGGCCTGAAATCCGCAGGAGGATTGCACTTGCCAACTGTGCACTTTCACAGCTTCGTAAAAGCATTTTCCGCAACAAAGGTCTCTCACTCGGAGCGAGGATTACCATTCTTGAGTCAACTGTGTTGAGTAGATTGTTCTTCGGTTCCCAATCATGGCACAAACCAGGAACGCGCGCCAGCAGAGCGCTTGAGGGTTTCTACATGAAAGCCCTGCGCAGTGCATCCCAGGGCCTGCTGCTGAGCATTTCAGCAACACCCAGGTGCTGAGTTTTGCCGGCTTGCCTTCCGTTGAGTGGCAGCTTAGGAAACGTAGGTTGCTGCACCTCTCGCACTTGGTTTTGAGGGCTCCTCATTTTGTCCTTCAACTCCTTCTCAATGAGGACAAAAAGACCCATCAGTCGTGGTTAAACCTTGTTGCGCAGGATATTACTTGCATGACTGCCTTGGTAGGGTGCTCGCTTAGTGGACTTGAGGCAGGGTTCACTTGGGAAAGGTTGTTCGGCGCCAGCAACCAAAAAAAATGGAACTTGGCGGTTCGTAATGCTGTTGAGGCTTCAGTTACCCGCAGGCACTTGGTCAACGACTTGCAAAACTGGAGCAAACGAATCCAGAGGCAGCTTCAAGATATTGGGGCTGTTGCGAATTCCTCAAGCCGGGATAGTGCCACCTGCAATGCTGTGGATCATGTGTGCGTAGAGTGCGGGGCTTCGTTTGGCACTCCTCAAGCTCTTTCTGGTCACAAATGGGGCAGGCATAAGTCATACTCTGAAGTAAGGAGGTACACTTACGCTACTCATTGCGCCGTATGCTTAAAGGAGTTTCACACCTCCCATCGCATGCATGTGCACCTGCGCTACAGTGCTACCTGCCTTAAGTTTTGCCAGCAAAACTTACCCCCTCTTTGTGAAGCCGACTTCATCAATGTATCATTGGGGGAGCAATACCGAGGTCACAGGAGAATTCCGTATGTCAGGTTGCAGGGTCCGTTCCTTGGCAGTGTTGAAGAGTGGCAAGACTCAAATCTGATAGGTCCCCGTGAAGACACGTGTGGCAATGAGGCCCCAGGGCTGCCTTCAGTTGTGCCATACAAAAAGAAGGTTGCCCCCAAGCCTACCGAAGCTGATGAGCATGTGCTGGTTCTTGATCGCCTTTATGAAGCTGATTGCCAAGTGCACTTTGACTTTCGGCAAGCCTGTGTCAACGCCTCCACTGTTGCCCTGACACTGGTTGGAGGCAGAAGAACGTATTATGCGCTTGACTTGTTTGCGGGCCCAGGCAACTTCCGGCAGCATGTTGAAGAACTTTGCCAAGCGCTTCCCTTTGACATTTGTGTGCTTCCTGTGAATTTTGCCCATGGCCACAAACTTGGAGACCTCGGTTCCCCGAAAACAGTTGATTGCCTCATCCGTCTTTGCAAACAGGGACTTGTCTTAGCGGTTAAGGGTAGGCCACCTTGCAAGACCTGGAGGTCAGCTCAATCAGCAAAACCGTTTCGATCCAGCAGACAGCCGTGGTCGATTCCTCTCCTCCGACACAAGGAATATTGCCACTTGCGCGCGGACAGTGTGCTTCTGCAGGCATGTGTTGCAATTCTGCTTGCCACTTACGCTTCGGGTGGCGCCTTCTTGCTTGAACACCTTGGAGAGCCTAAGAACCTCTACTCGGCTAGTATTTGGAAACTTCCGCAAATTAATTGGGTCCGGGCCCTCCCCAACATTGTCTTTGACAACATCTGGCTCAGAGAAGGGGGCCATGTGTCATCACGCGGGCTCCTCCTTGGTAATGTCCCGCACTGGTGCAAAATCCGAGATGTGCGCATTGGCAAACTTCGTGCTTGCCCCTCCACGCTTTGCTACGCTTTTGCTGAGTGCTGTCGAGAGGTTGCCCTTGTTGTTGATGGAAGGCAGCAAGGCAGTCAGGCACCTGACCCTGCCGCTGTGCGCCTTTTAGGGGAGTACCGAAGCTTGTGCCTGTCTGAGGAGACCGGTCATGACTTCGATCCGAATTAATGCAAGGCTGCGTCCAGACATGGACTCTTTGCCGCACAGGAAACAGGAAACAGGAAACAAGAGGTAAAGCGTGGATCTTGGGGGGGGGGTGACCATATATATATATATATATATACATATATATATATATATATATAAGTATGCCATGCAGGCCTGGAAAAGCCGATTTCAGGTGACAACTCGCGTCGTTGCAGCTACTCAATTTTCCAGCGTGGGGGCCGGCGCCGTGAATTCCATAGTCTCGACACTTGATTCTCCAACTTCTGATCTGTTTTGTGTTTTGCGCTGCTGGTAAGTGCAAGCCACACGCAAAAATGAAAGCACATGCCACGGGACAGCACGAAGTAGCGTGGTTGCCTGCTGGCAAGGTTCGTTTGCTTCAATCGTCAGAGGCTTCCTCCCAGAAGCTTTGCCCAGAGCTGTTCAAACTAGACCTTGGCCCGGACGCCAAAGGAGTCTCAAAGAAAAGCCGAGGTCAAGGCGATTCCAAGGCGAAGGCGAGAAACCCGGTGTCGCCCTTCAGGAGGGCGCGAACGGCGCTGCGGCCACTGTGGCGGATGGCTTGAACGGGATGCAGGAGCGGGTGAGGCCGGTGAGGCCAACGTTGGGCACAGGTGATTGGCGTGATCCAGTCGGCTTCTGGCTCAAAAGCGCGGGGGGCGGAGGGGGTGGTGGTCCTTTCAATGCGAATGCGCATGCCGTAGCTCACGACGAGTATGCGGGTCGAAATCCTTTGATTCCAGGAGGGAGCTGCCAACACCGCGGCCGACATGCAGAACGCCGTGACTGGCCAATTGAACGGCCTCCAGGAGCGGTTGAGGCCTAGACTGGAGGCCTCTCCCTGGCTGAGATTGAGGTAATTGAGCTAATTGCATTTTCTGTTTTCTGGTTGTCGTTTTTGCACTCATGTTCGATCATTTGCTGTTTGCCTGCCTTTTTTTCGCGCGCCATCTTAGAAACACGGCGAACTGCAATTGGATCTGTCGAGAGTGGTCGCTTCAATGAATATCTCACAACCATTTCTCGCTTGAACAGCAAGACCTTGCCCCGATCGCAAACAAAGGCTCGTTACGAAGGTGGGACCGTGTCTAGGGAGTGTCCATGAAGTTCGGGTTGTTGACAACACGCACTACTGTATGCCTCACAAGGGGTTGGCCCCGGCCTTGCGGGAAACTGTTGGGGTGGGAGCTTGGAGGTGCAAATCCCTAACCTTGCTGCGATTTCAGGAGGGCGCCAATGGCGCTGCGGCCTCTGTGGCGGATGGCTTGAACGGCATCCAGGAGTGGGCAACTGAAGGTATTGCTTTTGATTTAACACATTCAAATCTTTCACAGGGATAACTGGCAGTCGGGGAGATGTTTGCAGCATCAGCTCATTGGTTTACCGCAGGAGCAGTCGCGAGCTGTGTACTTGAGGGAGTTGCAAGATTCGGGCAGGATATTCGGAGTCTCTCGTGCCATGGCCGGGAATCTAGAGGGAATCAGATCTACCCGTGCTACGAGTGAGGATGGCGCCACCAGCGCTGCGGCCGACATGCAGAATGCCGTGACTGGCCACTTGAATGGCCTCCAGGAGCGGATACCGTCTCGGGTAACCGAAGTTTCCTCCTGAAGGAGTGTATGCCAGGTTTCGTCCACCCACATTTCTGATGTGAGAAGTTCGAGTTGCGCAGGTATTGTCTGGTTTGCACTTCTTTCCATCACACGTTTTAGATTCGCAGGCGTTTTGTTGGAACCAAGGGGAACCAGGTCAAGTCGTTGAATCCGACTCGGCTTTTTTGATTGCACGTGGCACCCTGAATTCAGGGAAGCCCACTACACGATCTGAGACAAATGCTGCATTTTCCAGCACTCTGAGGCCCTTCCGGGCCTTTCCCAACAATCAGAACATGTCGTTGCCTGGAAGAATCATGCTTTCTCGCTTAACAATTTCCTTAGCTTCCTGCTTCATGTCAAGGCCTGCTCCGAGCATTTTTTTGCACGCGATGCCAGTTGTTCCTAACTGGCCAAGCTCGAGAAGTAGAGAGCCAGTTGATGAGATATACTTGGCAAGACACGAAAAACTCGAACGCCTGAAAAGCATATCTGGCTCCATTGACACACTGGGGCAATGCATGTTCAATTCCAGGCTATGGGAAAGCAGAATGCAGCTTGACAGACAGGTAGTCACCCCTACCGCAAATCCCACTCTGCACGCTGCCAACCTGGCAAGTGCTTTTTCCCGCTTCCTCCGTGTTTAAACAACTTCACCCTGCCCACCTCGCTGGGGTCCTGAAAGGAGGGGGTTTGCCCATGGCGAAAACCTGGAGGTATTGAGGGTCTCAACCCATCTTATGACTTCAGGAGGGCGCCACAGACGCTGAAAAGACAGGCGAGTGGTGTAGATGGTTTCTGCAAAGGATCTCTTTAAAAGGTGAGGTGAATCCAAGCCAATTCCATGGAGGCTGCCAGTCCACGTCGCAACTTCTTATGAACGCAGAACTCAATCTTCCAACGCCCCACCGGCCGGCGAGGCAAATTCCAATTTGCGCTGTTGTTTCCTTGATCGCTGTTTTCTCCGCTGTTGTTTTGTCGAAACAAGCATGTGCTAAGCGGAAACCAGGCAAAAGATCATGTTTTTGAACCACTCACCCACCCGCACACACACACAAACACACAAACACACAAACACACACACAAACCCACAAACCCACAAACCCACAAACCCACAAACCCACAAACCCACAAACCCACAAACCCACACACAGACACACAGACACACACAGACGCGCAGACACACAGACACACAGACACACAGACACACAGACACACAGACGCACAGACGCACAGACGCACAGACGCACAGACGCACAGATGCACAGACGCATAGACGCACAGACGCACAGACGCACAGACGCGCAGACGCACAGACGCAGAGACGCACAGACGCACAGAAACACAGAAACACAGACGCACAGACGCACAGACGCACAGACGCACAGACGCACAGACGCACCAACGCGCCAACGCACCAACACACCAACGCACCAACACACCAACACACAATCACACAAACACACACACACAAACACAAACACACACAACCACACACAACCACACACACAACCACACACAACCACACAACCACACAAGCACACCCGCACACCCGCACACCCGCACACCCGCACACCCGCACACCCGCACACCCGCACACCCGCACACCCGCACACCCGCACACGCGCACACGCACACACGCACACAAGCACACAAGCACACAAGCAGACAAGCACACACACGCAGACAAGCACACAAGCACAGAAGCAGACAAGCACACAAGCACACAAGCACACAAGCACACAAGCACACAAGCACACAAGCCCACAAGCCCACAAGCCCACAAGCCCACAAGCCCACAAGCCCAGAAGCCCACAAGCACACAAGCACACAAGCGCACAAGCACACAAGCCCACAAGCCCACAAGCCCACAAGCCCACAAGCCCACCAACGCACAAACGCACAGACACACAACCGCACAAACGCACAAGCGCACAAACGCACAAACGCACAAACGCACAGACACACAAAGGCACAAAGGCACAAAGGCACAAAGGCACAAAGGCACAAAGGCACAAAGGCACAAAGGCACAAAGGCACAAAGGCACAAACACAAACAAACACAAACAAACACAAACAAACACAAACAAACACAAACAACACACAAACACACACACACACACACACACACACACACACACACACACACACACACACACACACACACACACACACACACACACACACACACCCACACGCACACGCACACGCACACGCACACGCACACGCGCAAACCACAGCGCACGGCGCACAGCGCACAGCGCACACACACACACCACACACACACACACACACAAACGGACATCAGTTTGGTTGACTTCCTGCGTGCACAACACACTTCCTTCGGAAAGGGCTCATAGTTGGCCCAAAGGTCCCCGAATGCCGGCAGAATCTGAGAGGGGAGCCATGGGAAGAGCTTTCGGCCCAGGCTTTGCCCTTCGTGAAGTGTGCAAGGCCCACTGCCCCCAACCGATCCCAACAACATCTTCCCCCCACAGCCGGGGTAATTAGCCGAAGACTTCTTGAAGCTATCAACAACTTCACCTTTGCCCAATCCGGCTTCGGCGCTGAAAGGAGGGGGAGGGCCCCACCCTTTTTCAACGATGCACAACGTTGGTGCCCTTGGTGAGCTTGGAAGTGATTCTCGTTTTTCCAGGAGGGCGCCACCGGCGCTGCGGCCGACATGCAGAACGCCGTGAATGGCCACTTGAATGGCCTCCAGGACTGGCTAGGCCTTGACGCATGAATGCCTCGCCCCGAGTGAGACCACGGGAGCTAAAGGCAGCATCTGTGGTGTTCGGCATTTTTTTGCGATGAGTTTGAGTTACCACGAGCAAGCTCCCTTCGGACAGTTTCCGTGAAGATGGGCGAGAATCGCGTGAGGGGGCCATTGGGAGAGACCTTGGTGCGGGCGGGGGTGATGCCATGATAGGACGGCGCCAACGGCGCTATGAATTCCATCTCCAACGCATTTTCGTCAGCAGGCGTGGACGGGCATGACAGCTCAAACTTCGGCGGGCAGCGCTGTTTCACGTTGTTAACAGCCACGGCGGGTGGTAATTACTGGGGCCCAGGGTCCTGGAATTTTGCGGCCATTGGACATGAAAGCCAAAGCTTCTGCCAATGTGTGTTTAGGCTGGATCTCAAATCAATGGGGTCTGCGCAAGTTTCTAGATCCAAAGGCTATGACCCAGCGAGCAACAAGATGCAGGATACTTCCCTCTTGGCGCCGCGCGCGGCCCCAGAATCGCTTCCGTGGAGTGGTCTACCAAACATACTGTGGATGGTTGCGAAATCCATTTCGCAAACCACCCGGGAATCAGTCGATTCCCTTGTAAAACCCAACCAACAATGGTTTGCTATGGTTTCAAAGTGGTGCGAAATTGATTTCGCAACCATCCACAGTATCTACCAGCAACATTTGGTTCGGATTGACTGGATTGGAGGGCGACCTACAGAGAAGTAACTTCTCTGCGGTTCGAGCAGTCCCTCCACTGTCGGGTCAACGGCGCTGCTCCGCAAACGTCATAGCAGGCCTCACCGCCAGCTTCTGGGCCGAGTTGCACGATGGCGAGGAGGAACAAAAACAAGCAACAGAAAAGGAAAGGAACAAGCCGCGGATCATATGTAGATCTCCGACGAGAACTTACTTTCTTCCACACTCAAGCAACACCATTAACTTAGATTGCTGTTGCTGCGCAGTGCGCATTCTCAACCTCAAGGCTGTCGCCTTTTGTTTGCAATGGCTGCGGGCATGGATCGCTGCACGATGCGGTCGTTGGCCGCGCGCTGCCCTTTGTATCTTGCAAACAGCACGTGTCCTGCAAAACCAATCTAGGTCCTGGTCCGAACGCAGCCTATCGTCGTCCACAAAGGCGCCCATCGTTTTGCACGAACCGCTCGATCCTGCAAAAGAAGTTTGCCCTGAACACATTTGGATTTCTGCGGGCTTCGCCCTTCGTTCTGCAAAATCAATTCATTGGCCCAAATTTGGCGGGTTTGTCCGAGCGCCATCCATTGTTTCTCCCAAACAGCCCTCACGCTATATGGGATCCGGTCACTTCAAAGCATTCATTGCAGCCGCTCGTAGTGCTAACCTTCCGCCTGTTGCTTTGGAACTGAGACTTGAGAAGCAAGAGAGGCTTTCCAGATAGGCATTCCCCACCTGGACCTGGCTTGAAGCGTAGCTTCAAGTCAAAACCAAGGAAATGATGCTTTCAGTGCAGGGTTGCCCCATTTCCCTTTTTGGGAACCTCCAAGACTCCAAAAGTGGCAGTTTCAATGGAAACCACCAGTAAAGTGCAATTGTGCATGCAGGCGCTCACCTCACGGGGACGGCCAACAAGGCGGCCGACCAGGTCGGCGCCACTTTCAAGGGCGAGGGGGCCGACGGCAAGGCCATGGCCGCCGGCAGCCAGAGCCAGCCGCTCGCCTTTCCAGTTTCTTGCTTCGTTCTGTGTGTTTTGAGTTCTGAGCATCCCCCGAACAGTGCCTTTATTGAAGATGGTCCAGACACAAGCGAACTGCAGAGTGTCCGGAAAACCAATGTTTGTATTGCCAGTGGCTGAGTAGTTGTTTACTTCTAAATTGATAGCATAGGAAACTCGGTTGCAAGGCTCTTCCAACGGGTCAGGTTCAAAGATTCCTCCTGATTAACCACTCAAGTGGGATGTGAATGCAACAGATACAAATAGAAGTGACGAACATTCGCTTGCACTTTTGCACAGACTCCTGGTTGTAGAGCAGGTTGTGGCGAACTTGCCCCTCTTAGAAATGCGTGTTCAATGCATGTGTAACTCCCATGCTCTCAGCGCACTCTGGATGCCCTGACGCTTGAAAATTAATTACCCTCGCCATTCCTTCCTTTCTTTAGTAGCATGTCGCCTCATGTTCACATCGACCATTTCTTGGAATTGCACGGACTGTGGCCCACCGCATGCCGAGGGACAACACGGCGCTGTATGCGGTCGTGGGCGGCGGTGTGGGGGCAGCGCTCATTGCCGCGGGAGCCTTCGCCATGATGGGCGACGGCTCGGAGAAGAAGCCGAAGAAGAAGCGCAGCGTGCCCAAAGGCGGGGCACACAGAAGTCGGCGGCGTGTGTCGTGAAGGTAGCTCCGGGAAGCCACCTGGAAGTCAGACAACACAGGAACACGGGCATGAGTGCAAGATACATGATTTTTGTGTCAGTGTCAAGTGTCGGTATGGTGGAATATCAGCGGTCTCGAGCGTGAATATTTTGCTCAGTCAACACACTTGCTCGCAACCTTGCCTGCAAGTGCCTCGTTACTGGCATAAGTCCAGATGGACATAGACGTGGGTTGTCTCTACGGCTGCTGACCCGTTGCAACCTTCAAGAAATGAGCATCCAAGCCCAAACCACTGCGCCCGAAGTCCGACAGAGTTGTGCCGGAGGCACTGGCAAATGCGCAGGGGTGCAGTTGAAGGATGCTAGCGCGTAGGGCGTTGCTGGCTGCTGCTTGCGTAAAGTATCGTAAAGTGCTCTTGGTGGGTGTTGTACGCAGGCCGCCATTGCAGGATGCTCGCAGATGCGGCCGAGAGTTGCGCATGGCGTTGTTGCAATGGCTCTTGAGGGCACTGCGCACTGTTGTAGGGTGTCTTTGGAGGGTGCTGCAAAAGTGGGGTAACCGGGGGTATTCTTGCAGAAAGAGCTTCACCCTCAAGGTCCTATCAGCGCGCGTGTACTTACATTGCAGTCGTTGTCAATTTGTGCAATCGAATCCAACTCTTTCTTGTCGATCTATTTACGTTGACACCTTTTGTATGAATTTGACGCATCCGGACGTGAAGGGCGAAGCCAAGCATCCGGCCGCCTCAGGCGAGACAAAGAGTGCCCGGGAGCTCCAGGCCCCAAGGCCGGCCTTTGATGCGGAGGCGCGTTTTGTGGATTGGAGTGGGCTAGGTTGAGCTGGGAAGCCCTAAACAAAAATGAGTTAAGTGGCCCCGGAACCTTATGGAACCCTCCGGCACCTTGTGTGAGTAGTTGACTCAGATGAGGCCCGACGTGTTTAACACGGGGTTACACACTTGTTGTTAAATTCCAGGTCCACTGAGACTTGCCCGTGTTTCCACTTCTGGCAATGATGGTGCATCTGTGAGCACATGGCAAGGCCCGCGGAAGATCAAAGGCTACGCAGTCCCTTTCATGGGATGTCTCCTTTCAGCTAAATGAACCACCATTTTCCCCATGGAATGAGCGACCTTCAGGGTCTCTTTGAGATGTAGAAAAATGGGGTCTCAAGTCTCAAGTTGGTACGTTGGGAATGTCATGGTGTAATGAAGCCGTTTGAAGAATGCAGAAAGGTCGTTCCAGCTTGACCACGAGAATCCTGAATTCCAAAGATGCCGAAGGCGATTGACACGATTTCAAAGTGTTCGGACACTCCTACGCCCAAGTCGTTCTGTAGGCCCCTGCCCCTTCTGCGGCTGGCTCCGGCCTGCAGATGGCGGCGCCAACGTACTCCGTGCCAGCGCCGCAGCCCATGAGCCCTGGCCAAGCAAAGTTTCCCTCAATTGGGTCGGGCCACGGTACCGTTGTTGAAGAGGAAGATGACTTGAACAAAACCTACTTTACTAGTTACTAGTTCCAATTCCTTGTGTCCTGGCCGCGGCTGATCGCTGAGGACCTATCAGCAGCCGGCCTACCAGCCAATGACCTACCAGCCGGCCAGCTACCAGCCGGCCAGCTACCAGCAGACGGCCATGCCCGCGGCGCAGCCCATGACGCTAGGTCAACACCTGGCAACATCTTTGAGTCATGTTCGCCCACCGAAACACGTGCCTGTTAGAAAGACCTGAGACTCCACCCAGCTTTACTTGGGCGCAGCTTCTTCGGCCGCAAGAGTGGGGGTTCTGAGTCAAGCGAAACTATATATAGATTCTTGGTGAGTGAAATGTTGATATACTTGTCGAACGGCCGTTGCTACCCTGGTGAAGCCTGGAGTTGGAGGGTTTTTTGAGAATGTGGCAACGAAGGCGTCAATGTTGCTGCAGCTGGCATCCAATTTTTGGAAACGTGTCAAGTCCGCAGTGAGCGTACCCAGGACCTACCAGGCTGCGCCTGCCTACCAGCCAGCCTCCATGGCAGCCTCCGCCTACCAGCCTGTGATGTACCAGCAGGTCCCCACTGAGCCAACTTACCAGGTCCAGTGAGTGAGCCACAAGCGCCAAACTGGCCTGCCAGCCTTGCTTGGAGTTCAAGTTCTATAACATATACATGTATTAAATATAATAGGTATATGTAATATAGATGTTCACATGTGTCCTTGATGTCGGCATGGCATCAAGTCTCAAGTCCTTTGACTTGCCAAAGCTTGAACTTGGCATGCGACAGCCACTTGCCCTGAGAGCCTGGTCTCGAAGCACACCGGCTCTCAGAAAATTCCGAAAGCGAACTGATGAAAATCTTCTCGCGGCGGGGCCCCGGGGAAGGCGATGGAGATGGGGCCGAGTTAGGCGGCAACTTTCAAGACGCGTTCTGACTAAGACCGGAGGGCAGAAAAGCATAGAAACGCATTTGGCTGCATTCAGTGAATGAACCAATGGTTGCTTTGTTAGAGCAAGAGTCGATGGCTTTTCTGGATGATGCAAATCTTCCACTATGAGTTGCTCGCGCACAGCTGTCCAGCGAGGCAATAAGTACAAGTGGATGCCTGAAAGCTGGTCTCTGAGCGGCGGTCATTGAAGCTGAAGCCAGGGTTGAGCGCTTGGTTTTGCGCCGCAGTTTTCAGATTTAGATCGAGCATTCCCCCACCTTTTTCGACCAAAACCATCATGGCGATGCGAGTGCTCCTGTTGGCGCCGGCCCTGGCTGCGGGCTCGTGTTTGGAGAAGGGCATAATCGCCAAGGCGGGTTGCCTGGGAATCAAGCCTTGCCCGTGGCAAGCGTCAAGCAATCTGAAACCAAGATAGCGCGACCGCCCAACACCTCACAGTTGAATCGACCATGAATCAACCGTGGTATATCTTTAAGCAAAACCAGATGGAAACGCATTCGTTCAGAACAGGAATCATGTTAAATGCGTTTATGCCAGTGTGGTTTGCTGATAGCAAGTCATTTGACTGAAGACAACACCCGAGTCTGTCAACTGGCAATCGAGACACCGGAGAACCAGACCAGTTTTGGCACAAATAGCAAGCCTTCTCATGGGAACTGGGCAGTTACGACACGTGCTACAAGCTTTTGGTCAACACCGACCTTGGTCGGATCTGTGAGCATGGACTGGAAAATCACAAAGGCGTTCCATGGCAGCGCGGGCGTTTTGATTTTCTAATTCAGTGCTGGGTCACGAAGTTTGCTGCCCGAAGACCCCCAGCCCTTGGGGCACGAAAGGCGTTTGACAGGCGTTAAGAATATGGTTTCGCACCCGTTAGTAGGCGTTCATAACCCTCAGCCACAAAAGTACGCAGTTTCCTTGAGAACGGGCCCACTTGAGCCAGTCTTTGTGCAGCATATGCGTTCCCATCCCCAAATCGCTGCGAAAGAACTCCGTGGGGCGCGAGACCGTGTCAGGACGCAACCGAGCCACTTCCTGTGCTGAACTTCAAGACCATCAACGAGTGCGCGAAGAGCCCCGGCTGTTAAAAAATGCTTCACTGCGATTCAGAGGTGTCAACTCAACTTCGGGGAGAAAGGGCCCTTTTTGAGACTTGGAAAAATCCTCAGCCAGTGGAGCGAGTCTGAGAAGCCTAAGCTCAGCTCGCCTGATTCGGAAGCAACTCATCCTTACGACATGCAACCAACATTGTAACATGCTGGCTGGTTTGATGCGACGGCAGCTCCTCGTTCTAGTCGCCACAGGAGCTGCGAGTGGCAACCCCACTGCCGGTTTTGGTCCTTCAAGGAGGACAGCGGCGCCTGCTACATCTTCAGCAAGACGGAGTTGGCCAAGGAGGCCGACCCCCAAGCCTTCTCCGGGCCTCAGGGATGCCAGGAGCGATGGGAAACCCAGCCGAGGGATTGGGCCTGGAAACGTGTTGTGTCTTTTCTGTTTTATCCTTTTTTGTTTGGGTGGGGGTCCATTTAGATACACAGAAAACCCAAAAACTATTTGTGGATCCCATGGCACAGGACAGACAAGAGGACAAACAGATGTCCAATGATCCACATGCGCTTTGCTTTTGCCAGGCGATTTCAATGCCTCGAGTATAGTTTCTCAAAAGAAGGGTCCGCCAATGCTGTGGAGTACCAATCAAGGGTCCACCATGTCACACCAACTCCACATTTTGTTGTAAACGGCCCCTGGTTCAGGACGGGCGACAGGCGGATACTTAGGGGTGGCTTAACAGTATCAAACAAACTGTGTCAAAGGGAATACAAAATAACGCGGGCTGATGCAGGTTGCACCATGTTGCGTTGCTGCGGCAACATGCAGCATCAATTGATGTGTAGAAGGAGTAGAACATGTTTGTGCAAAATCAGGCTCGTTGCATTAACCTGTCACATGTTGCCCAAAATTGCCGCAAACTGTCCCAGGCATTATACCCTTTGCCTGATAGCGTCTAGCCACCCGCTAGATACGTTCGCTCACGTGGGTCTCATTGATAGCTCAACATACGCTGATCATATTGACACTTGTTTTGTGCAACCAGCACCCTCCAGTTGTCAATTGGTACCCAAATCGGCTCAAGGGCACTTCAGGTACAAACGGACCATTGTTGGGTGCTGGACATGTTTTGTTTCTGGCTTGTGGCAGTCAACATAGTGCAGCTCCAGGATCTTGCCGTCCTCACTGATGCCGCCGATGCTGCCACCGCTGCCGCTGCCGGCTTGCAGGACGAATGTCAGTCGTGCTGTGGACTGAAAAGCTCAAAGTACATGGCACATGCATCAGTGGACCTTTGAATGGCCGCTTTTCTTCGAGCGGCAACGCCCCCCAAGCTGGACGTGTGGGGCTTTTCCTCCATATGTTTGTTGGGGGTACACCTGCCAGGATCTGCCAAGTTGGGGAGACAACTGTGGATGCACGAAATCCTGATTTGGAATGATTTGATTCCGCTGCAAATTCCAACAAACAATGCTTCTCAACCATGGTTCATCATGGGGTTGCTACCTTCCTTGTTTTTTTGGCGAGTGTTATCCGCAAGGGTCTTAGATCCGGTTTACGAGCAACCTTGCTGGTGGAGGTCTCATTCGGGCCACATTCCGAGCAAACCATTCAGGGACTGGAGGTGTTGCGCATCTCGAGCTGTGACTTCATGCCAACGACTGATTTTTCGGGGCATTCTGGGCCTTAGGGGAAGCCAGAGGGGCGGGTTGTTGGTGAGGCTCTTAACCCATGCTATCAATGCTGGTGATGTCAGGAGAGTGCCACCGGCGCTGCGGCTGACATGCAGACCGCCGTGAATGGCCAGGTGAACGCCGTGACTGGCGCTGCGGCCGATGCGCAGAACGCCGTGACTGGCGCTGCGGCCGACGCGCAGAACGCCGTGACTGGCGCTGCGGCCGACGCGCAGAACGCCGTGAATGGCCAGTTGAATGACCTCCAGGAGCGGTTGAGGCAACGCATGTCGCTTCTTTGCATGAGATGCATGAGCCATCGATCGGAGGTAGGATGCCTGTTCAGCTCAATATCTTTGGCCAGAAACAACATGACAGAAAAATCCTGGGGCCACGAAAGCAAGGCCTCATTTGATTTTATTTGGGGCTCGTCCTGAAGCCCTTGGGCAAGGAGGGCGCCAACAAAGCTGCGGCCACCGTGACAGATGGCTTGAACGGCCTCCAGGAGCGGTTCCAGTAAAGCATCGGGGAGTGAAGGCCTTAGGCTAGTTGAGCCAAAGTAGTTTCACTGGATCCTTGTGCTTCGGTGAGTTGTGTCTATGAGTCAGTGGCATGGCAGAGTGGTAAATCCCTGCAAAGTGAAAGCCCATGCCGTCGTTGCTCACGAATATCTAAGGGACCCAGCTCCTATGATTCCAGGAGGGCGCTGCCGACACTGCGGCCAACATGGCGGATACCATGAACGGCCATTTGAACAACTTCGCGAATGTCTTCAACGGCCACTGGAACAGCCTCCAGGTGCGGTCGAGGTCTTGGTATATGGAGGCTTCAATTTTCTTTGGCCGGCGATGGTGGGTCATGTACAGCAGAATTCGCTCTCGAGCTCCGATGATGTTCCATTCCTGAGTTTGCCTCTGACTCAAGCGGGAGATAGTCCAAATGGCCGCATGGTAGATCTCTTCCATAAAGGCCGATTTGGGTTGCTATGGCGTAAGAATACAATGGGGAGATGCAAATGTCATCCGTGTTTTCCAGCGGGTTCCCTGCGTTCGGTTTTCATCATGTTGAAAATTTGCATTTGCCTGAACAGACATCGCCGCGAGGGAGTTGTCGAACTCACGGGGCAACTTTGATCCATAGGCTCCCACCCGCCTCTCTCAGCTTCCCTCCAGCTAGGCCACCCTTCTAGACCTTGCCACCTCCCCAAATGCCCGCGACTTGCCTGGGCCTGCAAGTTGGAGCAAATTTGAGGGCCCTGGGCTGTCCCCATGAGCTCCCTCCTTATATAATTACAAGAGCCGTTTGGTTTTTTGTTGTTGGACACAACAAAACGGTATCGCTAAGCCTTTCTTGAGGCGTTTTTGGGTGGGGAGCTTGCGAATTGGCGCTTTTCAGGAGGGCGCCAACCAAGCTGCGGCCTCTGTGACGAATGGCTTGAACGGCCTCCAGGAAAGGCAGCGGCGAAGTGACTGCCGTTGATTTCAATATCAGGCGAGACCCGAATTCTTCAACCGGAGTGTCAGCAGTTCTTCTGCTTTGGTATCCTTTGGTAATTTAGGGCAACTGGATCTGCAAAAATGAGGGCTGGAGGACGATATCACTCAACATGCCCTGCAGCCCAGAGGACGGCGAGTTCACTTCCGCTGCCTGGAGGGCGCTTCTTCCCAGCCCGGGTAGTGCAACATGTATTTAGTTCTTAGAGCCTCCAACCACTCCACCCTGCCCCAACTAGTCGGGCCCTTTGGGGAAGCCAGCTCTGGAGATATTGAGGATCTCACACCACCTTTTGATTTCAGGAGAGCGCCAACGGCGCTGCAGCCGACATGCAGACCGCCGTGGATGGCCACGTGAACGCCCTGACTGGCGCTGCTGCCGACGCGCAGAACGCCGCGACTGCCCAGTTGAATGGCCTCCAGGAGCAGTTGAGCAGCCGTGATGTTGTGCAAGTTCCAGCGATGAAAGTGGTGTGAATAGTTTCTGCGAAGTGGATCGCTTTGAAAGACGAGGTGAAGCCAAGCCAATGCCAGAAGCATCAAGACGACGACCCCCACGTCGTAGCAGATTTTGAATGATCCAAGGGCTAAATCTCCCAACGCCCCGCCCGCTGGCGATGCAAATTCCGATTCCGCCGGTGTGTCCTTGATGGCTGTTCTCTTTGATTCTCTTTGCCTGTTTCAGGTCTGTCGGTGTTGTTCGAAACAAACCGAAACAACATATTGTGTTGTTTTACTGCCCGTAGTGAAGTGTTCAATACGTGGTTAGTTTTGCCAGCATCCACATGATCCCAAGAACATTTTTCTCCAAGCCTCTTCCCGAACCAAAATAGCGCAGCGCTGCTTGCGCCCTGGAGTTGAAAATCAGGGGGTTTGCTCGAATTGATTCGGCGATGCACGGCTTTCTTGGGGGTCTTTAGGGAAGCCGCGGAGGGGGGGGGGGAGCTTGCAGGTGAGGCTCTTAACCCATGCTATGAATTCTCGGGATTTCAGGAGAGCGCCACCGGCGCTGCGGCCGATATGCAGACCGCCGTGAATGGCCAGGTGAACGCCGTGACTGGTGCTGCTGCCGACGCGCAGAACGCCGCGACTGCCCAGTTGAATGGCCTCCAGGAGCAGTTGAGCAGCCGTGATGTTGTGCAAGTTCCAGCGATGAAAGTGGTGTGAATAGTTGACGAGGTGAAGCCAAGCCAATCCCAGAATCATCAAGATGACGACCCCCACGTCGTAGCAGATTTTGAATGATCCAAGGGCTAAATCTCCCAACGCCCCGCCCGCTGGCGATGCAAATTCCGATTCCGCCGGTGTGTCCTTGATGGCTGTTCTCTTTGATTCTCTTTGCCTGTTTCAGGTCTGTCGGTGTTGTTCGAAACAAACCGAAACAACATATTGTGTTGTTTTACTGCCCGTAGTGAAGTGTTCAATACGTGGTTAGTTTTGCCAGCATCCACATGATCCCAAGAACATTTTTCTCCAAGCCTCTTCCCGAGCCAAAATAGCGCAGCGCTGCTTGCGCCCTGGAGTTGAAAATCAGGGGGTTTGCCCGAATTGATTCGGCGATGCACGGCTTTCTTGGGGGTCTTTAGGGAAGCCGCGGGGGGGGGGGGGGAGCTTGCAGGTGAGGCTCTTAACCCATGCTATGAATTCTCGTGATTTCAGGAGAGCGCCAACGGCGCTGCGGCCGACATGCAGACCGCCGTGAATGGCCAGGTGAACGCCGTGACTGGCGCTGCTGCCGACGCGCAGAACGCCGCGACTGCTCAGCTGAATGGCCTCCAGGAGCAGTTGAGCAGCCGTGATGTTGTGCAAGTTCCAGCGATGAAAGTGGTGTGAATAGTTGACGAGGTGAAGCCAAGCCAATCCCAGAATCATCAAGATGACGACCCCCACGTCGTAGCAGATTTTGAATGATCCAAGGGCTAAATCTCCCAACGCCCCGCCCGCTGGCGATGCAAATTCCGATTCCGCCGGTGTGTCCTTGATGGCTGTTCTCTTTGATTCTCTTTGCCTGTTTCAGGTCTGTCGGTGTTGTTCGAAACAAACCGAAACAACATATTGTGTTGTTTTACTGCCCGTAGTGAAGTGTTCAATACGTGGTTAGTTTTGCCAGCATCCACATGATCCCAAGAACATTTTTCTCCAAGCCTCTTCCCGAACCAAAATAGCGCAGCGCTGCTTGCGCCCTGGAGTTGAAAATCAGGGGGTTTGCTCGAATTGATTCGGCGATGCACGGCTTTCTTGGGGGTCTTTAGGGAAGCCGCGGTTGGGGGGGGGGGGGGGAGCTTGCAGGTGAGGCTCTCAACCCATGCTATGAATTCTCGTGATTTCAGGAGAGCGCCACCGGCGCCGTGAATGGCCAGGTGAACGCCGTGACTGGCGCTGCTGCCGACGCGCAGAACGCCGCGACTGCCCAGTTGAATGGCCTCCAGGAGCAGTTGAGCAGCCGTGATGTTGTGCAAGTTCCAGCGATGAAAGTGGTGTGAATAGCTTCTTCGAAGTGGATCGCTTTGAAAGACGAGGTGAAGCCAAGCCAATCCCAGAAGCATCGAGACGACGACCCCCACGTCGTAGCAGTTGTTGAATGATCCAAAGGCTAAATCTCCCAACGCCCCACCGGCTGGCGATGCAAATTGCAATTACTCCAGTCTGTCCTGGGTGGCTGTTTTCTCTACTTGTTTCAGGTCTGTCGATGTTGTTCGAAACGAACCGAAATAACAGATTGCAGCACGTGAAGTGTTCAATGAGTGGGTGCCCAAATGATCCAAAGAACATCTTCCTACTCCCACCAAGCATCTTCTGAATCAAAATCTCGCAGCGCTGCTTGAAAGGAGTGGGTTTGCGCAACTTGATTCAACGATGCACGGCATTCTTGGAGGCCTTTAGGGAAGACACATTGGGGGAGCTTGCGTGTGAGGCTCTTAACCCATGCTATGACTTCTCGTGATTCCAGGAGAGCGCCACCGGCGCAGTGAATGGCCAGGTGAACGCCCTGACTGGCACTGCGGCCGACGCGCAGAATGCCGCCACTGCCCAGTTGAATGGCCTCCAGGAGCAGTTGAGCAGCCGTGATGTTGTGCAAGTTCCAGCGATGAAAGTCGTGTGAATAGTTTCTTCAAAGCGGATCGCTTTGAAAGACGAATGAGGTGAAGCCAAGCCAATCCCCTGAGCATCAAGACGACAACCCATGTCGTACTTGGTAGTTTTTGATTGATGGAAGGGATAAGTCTCCCATGGCGGCGCTGGCTGGCGATGCAAATTGCAATTGCTCCTTGGAGTTTGTCCTTGAAACGTACCCAAAAAAACACATTGCAGTACTCGTACGTGAAGTGTTCAATGCGTGGGTGCCCAAAAGATGCCAAAAACATCTTCCCACCAAGCTTCTTAAGCAAAATAGCGCAGCTCTGCTTGAAGCGTTCAACAACTTCACTCTGGAGCTGAAAGGGAGGGGGGGGAGCTTGCGTGTGAGGCTCTTAACCCATGCTATGAATTCTCGTGATTTCAGGAGAGCGCCACCGGCGCTGCGGCCGACATGCAGACCGCCGTGAATGGCCAGGTGAACGCCGTGACTGGCGCTGCGGCTGACGCACAGAACGCCGTGACTGGCCAGCTGAATGGCCTCCAGGAGCTGTTGAGCACAGGGGTGCTGAAATGGTTTCTTCGAAGTCGATCTTTTTGCCAGGTGTGAAGCCAAACCAATCTCATGACAATGAAGGCTGTCGCGCGCCGTCGCAACTTAACTGTGAACATTGAACGACGAGATGTTCCGGTGCCTCACCAGCCGGCGAGGCAATTATGATGTGCGCAGGAATTTCCTTGACGGTGCTGCTCTTCTTATTTTGTTGATTGGCTCTGTTTTGCAAACGTGGTTGGGGTGAGTGCGAATCCGGCAACAGATCATGTTGTGCACCACGCGCATACACATGCACATGCACATTCGCAGGCACTGAGACAGACACAGACAACGACACAGACACAGACACGCAGACTCCGACGCAGACACAGACACCCAAACGCACACAGACACACACACACAAACACAGCACAGACACACCAATACACCCACACAGGCAAAGGCACAGAGACACACAGACACGCAGACATGCAGACACGCCCGCAGACAGACACACAAACACACATACGCAGACACACAGAGAGACAGAAGACGCAGACGCCACGCATCCACGCACACCGTGCACACGCACACACGCGCACACGCACAGACACACAGATAAACACCCACACACACACACACACACGAGACACGCAGACACACACGACACACAGACACACAGAGACACAGACACACAGACGCACAGACACACAGACACACAGACACACATGCACACACACACACACCACACAATCACACACGCACACAAACACGTGCACACACGCACACACGCCCACGCGCACGCACATGCACATGGACATGCACACACACACACAGGCACATGCACATTGACACAGACACACACACAAGCATAGTATTATGCGCGCACACAAGCATATGCACATGCACACATGCACACATGCACACATGCACACATGCACACATGCACACATACACACACACACACAGACACAGACACAGACACAGACACAGACACAGACACAGACACAGACACAGACACAGACACAGACACACACACCCACACCCACACCCACACCCACACCCACACCCACACCCACACCCACACCCACACCCGCACCCGCACCCACACCCCCACCCCCACCCCCACGCACGCACGCACGCACGCAACCAACCACGCACGCACGCAACACGCACACGCACACGCACACGCACACGCACATGCACATGCACATGCACATGCACATGCACATGCACATGCACATGCACATGCACACGCACCGCAGTTTGTTGGACGCCCGCGCTGTTGGCTTACTCAGTTCACTCCCCCCCTTTTCTTCACACGCCAGCACTTGTTGAATCAAGAACTTGACATTCCCAAACCTGCCCAACTTGTGAAATCTGATGTCAGGATGGCGCCAACGGTGCTGCGGCCCAGGCGAAAAATGCTGTCAGTGGCCACTTGAATAGCCTCAAGGAGCGGTGAGGTCGGCTCATGGACCCCTCGCCCCACTGAGTGAGACAAGTGAATCCATGTGAGCCAGATTTCTTGCCATTTTTTTGGTTTGCTGATCGGAGGTAGGGATCTTGCTCTAACATTGCAGCAGAAAAGCTACGTATCAGATTGAGTTGTGTTGGGGGGCCCGAGCTCCAATTTGGGTGTGCGGGAGGGGGAATATTTGTGGCAATTTTGCCATGCATTTAACACTGGTGATGGTGTTGGGGCCCCTCGCACTCTCATTCAAGCCTCTTCAGCCCAGAGCCTCTCCCATCCTTTGTCTGCCACCTTCCCAAGGCTCAATTGGGAGCTCCTGACCAGTTCGGTGTTTCCAAACATGGATTCGCAGTTTGTTTGTGTGCAAACCGTTTCATGTTAAAAAAGATGATACACTGATACACGCACATGGACCCCTTAGCAAGCCTACATCTGCCTATTATCCGTGACTCTCCAGCTTGGTTTTTTGAGGTGACTCCAGCAAGGGGGGGGATACGTCGTGCTTTAGATATTGCGAGCCTTGTGGTAGTTGCGAACCAAGACAAGATGTTGTCCAAATGCATCCTCGTTTTTTGTCGCCCAACTCTTCGCACAAGCTCCCTTCAGAAAGAATTCATAAAGAAGGGGGGGACTTCCAATCTCGATCTCAGGCTTCCAGGAGGGTGCCAACGGCGCTGTGAACTCCATCTCCGACGTCTTCTCGCAAGCAGGTCGGAACAGCTCCAAGTTGCCGCCCCCTCCGTTTCTCCTGAAAGGACGTAAAGCTTCCCTTTAGAGCCAGCCGCCAAAACCTTGAATTTCGCAACGCATGCAAGTGTCAGGAGGAATCAGAGCTAACGCGGGCTTTGATTTTTAATCGATAGGGCGCAAGGGCCTCCTTCAGCCCTGACCAGGGCCCACAAATGGCAGCGTCGTTGACCTTTCCCCAGTCAAGCCGCCGTGTTTCTCGAGGGTATCCTTTCCGGGGTCGGCTTTTTCAGGCAAACCAACACTCACTTAGATCGAGCGGATGGGCCCCGACCAAAAACTTGCTGAGTGCCAGTAAAATGGTGCAAACCCCAAAAAGCGACTCAATGTCTGAAACGGAACTCAGGAAGTGAGAACATCCTCCGCTAGGTCCTCCAGTACTGCGGTGGATCTTCCCGGGTGGGTTGGATTGCTCACCGTACTTTTGTTGAGGTATTTTTAGAGGTAATTAATCTGAGAACCACCGGATGTTTGTTAGAAGACAGCTGCAGAATCTCTGCAAGAAAGTCTTCAAAAGCTGCCCCGCAAAGTTGCTGCAACATCTCCAAGATGATCTCTCACGAAGATCGATATTTCTCAGACTCTTAGATCTCTGTGCAAGACGTAGATTCTTGCAGCACTTCTCCAGATTTTTCAGGCACTCCAGAAACAAAACTCTACAAAGCACGTTTCGAAATCTCTGCTCGAGATCACCTTGCAGAACATTCGCGAGCTTTTGGACTGCTTCCACTTTGTAGCAAGCCACCAGCGAGTGCGATTCAACGCAGTCAATTTTTCGCGCGTTCGCTGTCAACATCAGGCCTTTGCGCCGCACCAAAGCAACAGCGAGTTGACCCAACCAAAGTCCGCAAAAAGTTGGCTTGCCAAGCCCCAGCCCGAATTTGCACCGGACAGTGGGAGCGATCCCAACACAATAGGATCAACACATTAGGTACATCCTGCTAAAGCGGATGTGCGCTTACACTGGTGTGTGTGAGTGTGCGAAACACAAAAAAGGCCAGCGGTTGGTGGTCTGCTCCAGGTGCTGGCCTCACGGGGTCGGCCAACAAGGCGGCAGACCAGGTGAGCGCCAGCTTCAAGGGCGTGGGGGAGGACGGCAAGGCCCTGGCCGCCGGCAACGATGGTGGGCTGCTCGACGGGTGGAACAGTCTTACTTCTTGGTGTCGTCTGGGTTTCATCTTTCCCTACTCTTTGTTCTCTTCGGTGCTTTGCTGTGTTTGGGTGTTGGTCATATTTCTTGTGGGAGGGGGGGGAGGAAGGGACATCAAGGTGCAGTTTGTTCGCATGGCGGGGGCTGGGAAGATTAGAGGTGGGGTTTAAGTGGGATGTGAATCGCTGGACAAGAAGTTGTACGGAAGTGGCCAGTGCCACTCACATTCTTGGGCAAGTATTGAAGTTTTCCAAGTACATATAGTATATGGGAGGCGCCTGTGACACTCAGATTTTTAGCAATTATTTCATGAGCAGTCAAGCTTTTTGTTGTCAGGTTCCTGTGTCGCCCGCAGCCTCTCAGGGGCAAACCGCAGTCAATGTAGCCAGGCAGCCCATAATCATGGTTGTTTCTGTATCAAAACACCTACAGTCTACAGTGTCTCGGTTCTTTTCCCTAGAGTAACCTTTGTTGCGCACCAACAAGAACCTGAGACACTGACTTTCTTGTTGGGGACCTTTTTGGGCAACAGGCCCTTTGCCCAAATAAGAGACTTATCACACTGAGATTCTTAGCGGAGTGCTTTTTGGGCAACGGGCTTCTCTGCCTAAGAAGCTGCGACAGGGGTCCGGCAGTCGCTTGTGGTCTTTCTCAGCTTTAAGTGTTGACCAGGCTCGCTTATCTTGGGCGCCTCTTGTGAACGTGTCAGTCAGAAATGTGATGTGAATTTGCCTGTGTGTTTGCCGTGCTCTCATTTCAATTTGAATTTCCTGGATGCCCTGAATTCCGATGTGTTCCATGAGCCTCGCGATTCCTTCTTTGTTTCAGAATGGGTTCACGTTGACACCCTTTGGACATGGCACCTTTGATTCCTCGCCAAGGAGCAACACGGCGCTGTACGCGATCGTGGGTGGCGGCGCGGCAGTGCTCGCGGCCGCCGGCGCCGCCGCTTTCTGGGGCGGCGGCAAGAAGAAGTCCAAGAAGACGCGCAGCGTGCCGAAAGGCGGCGGCGCAATTCCCAGCCGTCCGGTTCCCTATAGGATTTTCAGGTTTTTGGTGGGTTTAGTGGGGGTTCCATGTAAAAGCGCTAAAAGTGGGAATCTCTTCGCAGCGGATCTGAGGACGGAGGAACCATCTACCATTTCAAACAAAAGAAGAACATCGGAGGCCTCAAGCGCAATGATGGCCGAACTTGGTCGGGTGCACGGTGCTTCGTTTCTGTTCTGCGAAGGTCAAGTCTTTGGATCGGTGTCCGGCAAATGAGCAGCGCTAGCCCCTGGTTTGCCAAGGTAGCAAAGAGCTCTAGCTCGTTGTTTTCGGGTTCCCCCCGTTTGTCGCGTAAATACTTGGCCCAGTCAATCACTGGCTCGCAACCCTCGCTATTATAACCCTCTTCTTTCTGACCCAAGTCCATTAGAAGTGGGTTGTAACCACGGCTGCTAGCCGATCAAGTGCAACGTTCACGCAGCACACATCCAAGCGGAAACCAAAGACGCGGTTGCGAGATGCTGTTGTGGGGTGTTGCTGGCAAGTGCAGCTAAGAGTTGCACAGGCTGCTTTTGCAGAGAGCTGTTTCAGAAGGTTGCGCAGCCGGATGGGTGCAGTTGTTGCCGAGTGTTGCAGCTGCTGTTGCGCAAGTGCTGTGGGAGGATGCTGTCGCAAAATGCTGTTCAGAACAGCGCGCTGTTGCAGGATGTTCCTGGGTGGTCTTGGAGAATGCTACGATGTCAACGCAAGAGAAACGGGTGAGCCCTCAAAGTTGTTTTGTGCTTACATTTACACTCTGCGTTGTCAATCTGTGCGCTCGCCTTCTTTGGTGACACCCAAAGCACAATTCTTGCTTTTTGGGTGCCTAAGCTGATGTTTGTTTGGACGAATGCCCGATCCACCCGGAGCCTCCTTTTCGCCAGGCGAGGCTAAGTCTGCCATCGACGCTGAGGCGCGCAGTCGCTGTGAGACGTTGTGAATGGCCCCGCCAGTGCCCGCCCCGCCCCCCTCAAAACGAGAAACTTGTCAGGAATGGCTGCAAGCCTGCTTGTCTTGCAGTGCCAAACCGTTACCAGTTCGACATGGGCATCTATACTCATTGAGAATTGGGAAGGCCCTGCCCTGTGCGGCTTACTGGAGCTCCAAAACCGATCCTGCTGTTGCGCCCGGGTCGGTCCGTAGGCCCCCGCCCCTCCGGCCTCCGGCGCCGGCGTGCAGATGGCGGCGCCAAGCTACTCTGTGCCGGTGCCGCAGCCCATGAGCCCCGGCGCAGGGGGGACACGGTTCCTTGCAGAGAGAAAAGGAGAAAGGCATAGGCCCCCCAGAAAACCTTCATGGGTCCGGCGCTTTGCTTGCAAGGTAATGAGCTCGGAAACACGTAGCTGTAGTTGGAATGCGTAGTTTCGATCTGTAGTGCCCTGGGCAACTCCTTCAATGTTCGAAGTCTGTGTGGTCGCATTGTTAACCCACCAGAGGACCTACCAGCAGCCGGCCTACCAGCCAATGACCTACCAGCCGGCCGGCTACCAGCAGATGGCCATGCCCGCGGCGCAGCCCATGTCGCTGGGTCAACACCTGGCAACGTGTTTGAGACCTGTTTGCGCACAACGGAATCAGTTGCTTCCCAGAACAGGAGACTCCACTTAGCTTTACCTGGTACAGTTTCTGCTGTAAAGGTGGTGCATCCGAGTCAGCACTTTAGTAAGAGTTGTTGCTTGGTGGTTTCCAGCCTGGTGTCAAACCTGGAGGGCTCTGTGAAAATGAGTGTGGCAAACAAGAGGTCAACCTTTTTCTGCAGCTGGCAACCATTTTTTGGATAAGCTTCAAGTCCGCAGTGAGCGTACCCAGGACCTACCAGGCTGCGCCCGCCTACCAGCCAGCCTCCATGGCTGCCTCGGCCTATCAGGCCGTGCCAACCTACTCGGTCCAATGAGTCAAGTGAGCCACGAGCTCCGAACTGGCCTACCGTGTCCGAAGTGTGCCTATTTGAAGTTATATATATTTATAACTATATATATATATATTTATATATGTGTGTATATATACATATATATGTATACACGCATGTGTTTATCATCACTCTAAGACATGAATATACACATACACATGTTCATTTGCGTGATCCTTACCGAGTTCACCATGACATTTTTGTGTTTGACTTGCCAAATCGAGGGCAAGTAGCGGACCAGGCCTATAGTTTGTTCTGTCCCTTGCCCTGAGAGCTTGGTCGCAAAGCCACCGGCTCTCATTGAACGTCTGTAGAGTCCTCGTCCTGGATCGGATCGGAACCTCCCAAGAACGGGAGCCCGCCAAGAACTGAGCGCGAAGCTTGACGTATTCCAAGATTCGAAGAAGCACAAAGCACAATAACAGACAAGAACACATTGGGTCAGAACCAATGCTACCCTTTTGGGGTATGTGAATTCACCACCCATTTAATTCTATTTTGGTGGGTGGATTGAATCGGATGTTCACCAGGGGTACAACATGGATTTTGACCCATGCCCACATGAGTCCCTTGTGGCCTGAACGGGTTCATGTCCATATCGCATGTTTAAAGCATGCAGCATAAGGATGGGCAGAAAGACAATTCTGAATGCAGCTCAGGGAATGCAGCATCAGGCTCTCATGTTGGATCAAACGGTCGACAAGCCCAGTTGGAGCTGCAGTGACTGTGTGGGTCAATGTTTTCCTGGTCCACGCCAGGGCCGAATTCTTTCCTGATGAACCAACCAATGCACGGCTCGCGCACAGAGCTTGAAGCGATCTTGGCGGACGATGGCCAGACTAGCATTACCTTACATAGCTGGGTGAGGAATTCTGCGGTCGACTCCGTGGTCTAGCATCCAAGAATCCGACTTTGACTGCAGCACACAGGTGTTGGCACTCTGCCCAATGCAATGCTTGTATTGCACTATTGATGCATCAAGTTTGGCGAGCGACACTGCCATGCTGTCTTTCTGAGGGATTTGGAGTCCCAACTAGGTTGAGCGCTTGACTTTCCGCAGTTTTCGGATTCAGATCTAGCCTTCGCAGACTTTTTCACTGAAACCATGGCGATGCGAGTGCTCCTGTTGGCGCCGGCCCTGGCTGCTGGCTCCTGCCTTGAGAGCGGCATGCTCTCCAAGGCGGGGTTTGCCACCACTGGGCAGACGCGTGAGGGGTTCTTTGGTGGGATCTTAGAGTGCAATGGCCATGCCACGAGCTACGCGAATATCCCGATGGCAACCCGAACCAGAAGATATCCAAATCAAGGAGTCCCGGTTGGCCAAGTTAGTCTGCGGTACGGGGATTTACAATCATCAGGCCCGCATCCATCCCTCCCTCCCTCCCTCCCTCCCTGCCTCCCTCCGTCCTTCCCTTCATTCGTCCTCCCTCCATTTCTCTCTCCCTCAAGTCCTTCCTTTGCTTCCACCCTTAGCCCTTTGTAATCCCGGAATACTTGTAAGGTGAAAACTAATTAGAAACGCAAATCGCTGGAAAACGATACCGAGGAGTCACAAACTAAGCAACGAGACAAGCGTAAATCATTTTGACTGTGTGTCATATAACCAGGTTGGGACGTCGAGTTTGTGCTGAGGAATGGCCTGAAGCATTTCTTGGGCTTTGGGTTGCGGTTAGGACCCTTCAGCCCCTCTGCCTGCGCTGTACTTCAAGACCGTGGCCGAGTGCCAGAAGAGCCCTGGCCGAAGTGATGAGGTCATCTTGACTTTTGGGCTGGCCCAAATGGGTCGAGGCGAAAGAACGCGCTTGTCCGAACTGTAAGAGCCCGTCCCTGAACTTGCTTTGCAGGCCTTGGCACGCTGCAAACTGGGGAAGAAACAATCACGATGTCTCCAGAAGCCGTAAAGACGCATGTAGGTCCCGGTTGTGAATTTGGTTCTTCTGTGTACCGATTACTTCTGGGTGAAGTATATAGACCTCACACGACCTCACCCCAAATGGTGGTTTATGTGGGGAATGGCCCCCCAACCACCTTATTTCAGGCTTGCGAAATATTATAATTCACCCAGATTACTTGCCAGTAGAAACGAGGCACTGCGAGGATCAAGGCTTCGCTGAAGGAAGAACAGATACCAGCAAGTGTTGCAACGGAGCTTTGTCGAGGTTCCGGAGTCCAACAAATGGCCCAAAACCGGCAGTACCAATGGCCTGCAATGTGGTCCAGGTCAGTGGCCAGAAGTGATCCATTTAACCTCTGATAGCCCCCAAACACGTTGTGAACCGATAAGGAGGCAAAACCAACGTTGAAAACAGATGCCAGGGCGTATGGTAAGAAAGCCTGTCCACGTGTTTGTTGTTTATTGGGCAACATATTTGCCCATCAAATGAGAGAAGGCCCCCTTCTTTGCGAGGGAGGGATGGTGTGTTCGACGAACAATGAGATGACATGGCATTGTGCCAGAGGCCCGACGATCAGGGTCTGAGGGATCCGTGAGGCCTGGCACCGGCCCCCTCTTCATTTCATGCTCAGTAAACTCTGACGAGGGCTTGAGCATATCCACCGCACAGCTTCCTAGACCCTTGAAGCAGCAGAGGGATTGGCTCAAGGATTGCAACGCTGGCAAAAGCTCGTTGACGTTTGCGGCATCGCATACCCCGGGATTGGAATATGAAACGAGTGCCGCACAGTCCTGGAACTCTCTCAAACTTGAAGAGGTGCGGTTTGCTGCAGGAGCTGCGACTCCAACCTCCTCTGCCAGTGGTTTTCCTACAAGGCGGACAGCTACCCCACGAACGGCGCCTGCTACATCTTTACCAAGACGGATGTGGCCAAAGAGGCCGACCCCAAAGCCTTCTCCGGGCCTAAGGGATGCCAGGCGCGATCGGAGTCCGAGCCGAGGTGCTCATGTCCACCACGAAGTCTTCACATGGGCGTCTTCCAGAAAGACCTGACCTTTCAAACAAGTCGGCGGTTTCCTCCTGGTTCTTATTGGAAGCATCCAAAAGGGGGTTCGGATGTCCCCTGTTGGCGGATACCCCTTCATGCTGAGAAGAAGCCTCGAACCAGTCATAGCCCTTGGAAAGAAGGGTCTGGAATTGCCGGACTAGAACCAAGTTATGAATCAGGCAGGGCCTGCAAGAAAGGAGTCCAACCACCGCACAGGGACCCGGCACCGGTTTCTTTTAAACAGACTTGCCCAATACCAAACTGTTGCTTGACTTGGTCTAGTGGACCTGGAGCCAGAGATCATGTCAAAATAGTGATTGAACCTATAAAACCCCCAGCATGAAAGCAGTGGCTGAATTTTCTTTGAATCGGCCAGACTGGGGCACATGCCGTCGGCTTCAGGAGACCACCATCCTCACCGATGCGGCCACCGCTGCCGCGGGCGTGGCTTCCAACTTGCAGGACGCCCGGAATCGATTTGGTTTGAGCGCTCACGGCAAAAACCATCTTGACCGTGTTCCACGAGTGTTCCAGGGAACGAGCATCCATCGAGGGATCCCGATACCAGGGGGATCACAACAAACAAAAGTGTCAATGCTCATTGGTCCAAGGAACCTGCTACCAAGGTAGGGCATAATGCAATTATCCGATTGCAAAGCTCGAAAAAAAGTAAACACGTGGCAGAACACGACGTCCGCTTTAGTCGCCTTGCCAAGCTATGCAGCACTTGCAAGCGAGCCGACCGCCTCCACCCCTGGGCCAAATCCTAAGTTGTTGCGTTCATCCTATGTTTTTAGATGCCCCAGGCGCTGGAACAAGCGCCGAGTGCTTGCCTACAAGGTATGTTGAGACCTTGATGTGCGCGGTAGGTCGGAATCGAGGAGATATGCATGTGTCCGAACCGCAAACTGTGCAGTGATTTAATTCAGGCGCAACACGTGGGTGCTTCAATCATAGGCTTCCAACCCTGAGTTCTCCATTCAGAGATGGGCAACACTTATCATACGGGAAGTGTTCAAACAAAAGCAGTCGACACTTGACTTAAACAGGGGCGTAGCCGAAGCATACCACCGCTAAGGCCTTATTCCTCATTTGTTCGGGGCTACTGGGGAAACAACTGGAGCTGGAGCTTCGCGTTGATTTCCTTTTTCAAGGACCTTCCTGCAAGCTTCCATTCAAGTGTAGCAGGGCTCCTCAAAAGATACATTTTGTCCATTTGAAACATTGCTTTTTCGACCAAAATGAAGGGATACCACCATTTACAAGGCAATGTTCAGGTGTATACTGTAAGGATCCCTGTGTAGGGCAACATTTGCATCAGCAACTTGAACTCCACTTGAGAAAGCCAAAGGCAAGTTGTTGCATGTTGGCCGAACCTTGCCGAACTGAAGCCGTGATTGGGGGTTCTGGGGGGTGACATGATATGATTCCAGGAGGGCGCCACCGGCGCTGCCGCCGACATGCAGACCGCCGTGAATGGCCAGGTGAACGCCGTGACTGGCGCTGCTGCCGACGCGCAGAACGCCGCGACTGCACAGTTGAATGGCCTCCAGGAGCAGTTGCGCATTCGTAATGTTGGGCAAGTCCGAGTTCTGAAATTTGTGTAAGTTTGCCCACGTTGCAGCAGCTTCTTACGATTGAAGGGCTACATCTCCCAGCCCCCCACCGGCGGCTGGCGATTCAAATTCCAATTGCTGCAGTCCGTCCTTGATGGCTGTTTTGTGTACCTGTTCAGATCTGTCGGTGTTGTTCGAAACGAAAGGAAACAGCACATTTTGTAGCTGAACTGCTCGCAGTGCGGTGTTAAATGCGTGGATACTTCAACCAGCCCCCAATTGATCTTGACAACCTTTGCCCCCCGAATCTTGTTCCCAACCGGGCTGCGCAGCACTTTTGAAGCTTTAACTGGAACAAGTTTTCCCTGCAGCTAAAAAGAGGGGGTGGGCCCAACCGTATTCAACGATGCACGGCATCATTGGGGGCTTTGGGGAAGCCAGAGGGGCAAAAGCTTGGAGGTATTGAGGATCTCACCCCATCGATTGATTTCAGGAGGGCGCCACCGGCGCTGCGGCCGACATGCAGAACGCCGTGAATGGCCAGGTGAACGCCGTGACTGGCGCTGCTGCCGACGCGCAGAACGCAGTGACTGGCCAGTTGAATGGCCTCCAGGAGCAATTGAGCCTGATGATGTTGGGCAAGTCCCAGTGATGAAAGTTGTGTACATAGTTTGTTCAAAGTGGATCTGTGTGCTTGACGAGGTGAAGCCAAGCCAATTTCATGACCATGAGGCCAACCCGCGTTGTAGCAGCTTCTTACGATTGCTCCAGTCTATTCATGATGATTTTTTTGGGTACCTGTTTCAGATCTGTCGGTGTTCCAAACAAAAGGAACAACACATTTTGGCCCGCAGTGAAGTGTTCAATGCCTGGTTACTTCAACCAGCCTCCAATTGATCTCGACAGCCTTTGCCCCCTGAATCTTCTTCCCAACCGGGCTAGCGCAGCACTTTTTGAAGCTTTAACTAGAACAAGTTTACCCTGCAGCTAAAAAGAGGAGGTGGGCCCAACCATATTCAGCGATGCGCGGCATCATCGGGGGCTTTGGGGAAGCCAGAGGGGCAAAAGCTTGGAGGTATTGAGGATCTCACCCCATCGATTGATTTCAGGAGGGCGCCACCGGCGCTGCGGCCGACATGCAGAACGCCGTGAATGGCCACTTGAATAGCCTCCAGGACTGGTTCAGGCCTTGACGCATGAATGTCTCGAGTGAGACCACGAGAGCTAAAGGCAGCATCTGTGGTGTTCGGCATTTTCCTGCGATGAGTTTGAGTTTCCACGAGCAAGCTCCCTTCGGACAGCTTCCGTGAAGATGGGCGAGAATCGCACGAGGGGGCCATTGGGAGAGACCTTGGCGCGGGCGGGATGAAGTGCCATGATAGGACGGCGCCAACGGCGCTGTGAACTCCATCTCCAATGCATTTTCGTCAGCAGGTGCGGATGGGCATGGAGACGTTGTGACGTTGTTTGGTGCAATTATTACCATATGATTTTCTTCCATGCGTTGATGGTACAAGACAAGGGTTCCAATGTAGACAGCTACCCAACATCGGGGGCATCCCTTTGTCCCATCCATGAACAGCGCCCTGAGCCGAGTTTGGGCTGATGTGGGTGAAGAAGGACCGTTCTGCGTTGGTCGCCAAAAGGTGGGCTTAGGCAGGGTTTCCTGTGGATTGTCCTGGTGAGCCTATGAACCGATGAACTTTCGGGCCACCAAAGAGGTTTCTTGTTCCAGGCGCCCAGCTCACCGGGACCGCCAACAAGGCGGCAGACCAGGTCGGCGCCACTTTCAAGGGCGAGGGGGCGGATGGCAAGGCCATGGCCGCCGGCAGCCAGAGCCAGCCGCTCGGTCTTGGTGTAATGTTGGCCCTTTTCTGCAATTGAGCTGCTTGTCTCATTTCCTAAGTTCATGAACCTTAAACTGTTTTTGGGTTTGCACCATTTTAGTGGCAAGCAATAATCATTGGACTTTTTTGGTCAGTCCACTCAGGAAGTGTTTGTCAGGTCTGCCCAGTCAGATGAGGTTCGCAGGTGAGGCTTGCTCGGGTCGATCAGAACTCATGAGTAAGATTTTGGAGATGTGTCCAAGCCAGGCCAAAACGGACAATCACGTAGTTGGTTTCCATTTTGAAACCAATGTCAGCAGAGAGGGCTCGCTCATGCTCAACAAAATGCAAATGTTCATGCAGTATCAGCAGCGGCACACTGCTTGAATGCCAAACGAGTTTTGTGATTTCAGGAATCAATCAGGATTTTGTATGCTGGAACAGTGCAACACCTCATTTTGCCTGACGCTTAAATTCCTGGTAATTGCACGTGTGCCTTTTCCTTTGAACCGAAGGGACAACACGGCGCTGTATGCCATCGTGGGCGGCGGCGTGGGGGCAGCGCTCGTGGCCGCGGGAGCCTTCGCCATGATGGGCGACGGCTCGGAGAAGAAGCCGAAGAAGAAGCGCGGCGTCCCGGCCTCCACAGGCCCGTCGGGGAGTCCGGGAAGCCATCGAAAAGTCAAAACGAGAAACGTTCCCCCGTCTCCCACTAACATGGCACCTCACAGAGAGTTCGTATGAGAGAAAACTGACAGGTACCCTCCCACAGGTGCTATGTTTGTTGGAGGAAGGCTATGAGAGATAGAGGCCTGGGGATGTACATGGTTGCCGACCTTGGTCGGCAGTTTCTAAGTGTTAATCTCAAAGCTGGCTTTTGTTTGCGTCCATGTTTCTCTTACAACTTCATCTTTGTTTCTTTCCTCACCAGTCTTCCAAACCCCCCTTAAAAAAACAACGAAAACGCCTCGCCAACTGCCGGTTTTTTTCAACTCGCCCACAAAAAATGAAAGAAAGAAACGCTTCGTCAGCTGCAAGCCGTTTTTTTTTGGGCGGCTTGCAGGCTCGAAGAAGCCCACCCCGGATGCCACCGTCGACGCCGAGGACGGTTTTGAACCCATGGAGTCGGTGTTGAACCACTCAATATTTTCAGAACTCAGGGCCCCGGATTTCGGTTAGTTTGGTTGAAAATAGATATGGGTTTCATCTATTCTTCTAAAACATCACCTATGTTTGAGAGTGGTCGAGTGGACGTATGGTGGCCTTGTTAGTTGTTGAACCACTTTTCAGAGTTGGTTTTCAGAGTCAGTGGAACCAGTGTTCCGCGCCAAGTGGCCGGAATTGATCCGAGTTGATGTGGGTGCATTTGTTGTGAGGGTACCTTTTTTTTGGGTTGGTTCAAAGGGACACATAGGGACACCAAAAAGGAAACCACTATGTTGCATGGGTAGCATGTGATGTGGCACATGTGGCAAACTTTGTTCCCTTGGCTTTAGGCCCCGTCCGCATCGGCGTCTGGGCTGCAGATGGCCACTCCCACTTACTCGGTGCCGCGGCCCACCTACTCGGAGACAGCGAACTACGGCCAGCCTGCGAGCCCCAGCAAAGTCTTGGGCTGGTTGGGTGTGAGGTTTCAGTAAAAGATAGGATTGGTTCATCTGGATGTGTCAAGTGAAAGGGTGGGGAGAAATAAGGTTATCCAGGTTCCCCCCGGATCCATTTTCCGTCCAATCCCCCCTTTGTCCTGGCCGCTTTTTTGACTCGGGGATGGTGGCTGAGGAGCTACCAGCAGCCGGCCTACCAGCCAATGGCCTACCAGCCGGCCAGCTACCAGCAGATGGCCATGCCCGCGGCGCAGCCCATGACCCTTGGCATTCCAGACACTGCCCATGTCCAAAACCACGTGTTTCCCTCTCAGCTGGGCCAAAGATTCATTGTTCGAAATTCCTCCTTACCTAGATTGTACTTGTTGCAGTGTTTTCAAATAAAGGAGTTGCCTAAGATAAGGGCGGACAAGATTCATTTGAGTTTCGAGCGTCCTTTTGTTTTGGAATCAAGTCAGCGGGCGGTCCAGGACCTACCAGGCTGCGCCTGCCTACCAGCCAGCCTCCATGGCGGCCTCAGCCTACCAGCCAGTGATGTACCAGCAGGTCGCCACTGAGCCAACGTCGTACCCGGGCTACCAGATGCAGTGAGTGAGCCACAGGCTGAATGCAAAGCCGAAAGCTGCACTCTGGAAACGTGGTTTAGCATTTGTATTCCTGGAGCTCCTCTAGCTTCCCCGGGTCTTTTGTTCGCAGAAATCGTACTCAGTTGAGATGAAGCAAGGCAGCGGTCGGCGCCGGAGCCTCGGAGCGGCCCCGAGTCTAAACATGTCCTGCCCCGTCGATTTTTTGTCCACATAGCGCACGTAAGCAGCTCGGTGGGGGAAGTTGCCATTCCGGAGATTCTGTTTGTCGAAGACGGGGCAATGGACAAGGCCTGTACTGATCCTTGCCCTGAGACCTGGCAACAAAGAATGCCAGCTCTCGGGATTGACTACAGACCGGCACCTCTCGCATCAAACATGGTTAAACCTCAAAATCAATTGGAACATGTCATGGATCCAGAGGCGTGGTTGTTTCCCTGCAGCTATTCAGGCAAATCCAGGCAAGAAATTAGGTGAATGTGACTTGCGACGGTTGCTTTCTCAAGCAAGATTGGTCACCTTGGATTGAGTTTGCCTTTGGTGCCGCTTGTTGCGAGCCGGATCCTGCGTGTTGCCCTGAGTGTGAGGTGAATCTTCGTGTTGGGGCATGGCAGGATCTGGCGGCTCATTGCTTGGCTAGCTCGTGGCGCGAAAGCGTTATGCCACACTTTGTGAAATGCATGAGAAAGCGCTTCTTGCTTTGGAGCCGGAAGGTGAGTCGAGAATTCTCGAGGGGACAGCTGCGGTCTCCAAATCGGGGAGCCAAAACATGGGTTTGCAGATTTGTATGGCGAGCTCCTTGGGTAAAACGATCTCAGAGAGATGCAAGTCCCTTATTTGAAGCCCCTTATTTCAGGCATTGGAATTTTATTTGTTGCAGGGTTCCAAGCAATTGGAGGCAATGCGTATTGGTTCTGCCAGGCGGACGAATTCGAGCTGGACTACGTGAGCAGCAAGCGCCCGCCTGTCACGGCACAGGCGCTGACGGACCAGCTCTGGGAACGACTCATGGCCCGTAGCCCAAGCGGAAATGACGTCGTGGCATGTCGTGGCGGGGTGTCTTTTTGTTGAGAGTGGCCCTGTTTGCGGTGGTTGGACCAGGGAACAAAAGGACAACCACCCCAGTAAATAAAAAAAATGCTCTGGACGATGGTTCATCTAGTGGCAGCGAGCATGTTGTTTGAGTGCTTGGTGTGGGGCAGCCTCTAGGACGTTTCGATTAAGGCATGGGGAACCCGTGGTCATTTCATCGAGTGGGCTTGCATGCTTGTGTGTTTGCGTCCCACTTTCCCCCGATAAGCAAAAGGATGGGCAAGTCATTTATAGATGCGTACACACACACAAACACGTATGTTTATATAATATAGTATTGATTTGCATGTATAGATATACATGAATTAGTACATAGCTCTCTCTCTCTATACATAATATAATATATATATATATACAGTTACCTGTGTATATATATATATATTGTGCATCATCCTTTGCATGTGCGTTTGTGTCCGCAAACAGAACAAGACAAGCCCTGTACGCCTGCATAATATAGTTGCGGGTCCAAATCAGGAAAAGCTGTGTTTTGGAGGTCCCTTGCAACAAAACGTAGTCGCACACGGTCAGACAGCTGAAAGCTTCGTCACCTGCAGCCCATGAACCCTGCCAGCACTGAGTGAAAGGACCATTTGTACAGGCCCCAAATTTCACTTCAACACATTCGTCCTATGTACATGTATGTGAGTTTATAAAGTGTACATACCTATTCTATATATATATAGATATATACATGTATAAATATATATATATATATATATATATATGTATACGTGTGATATAGATAAGCTTGCATATGTTGGTTGTGGTTTGAATTGGTGCCAGCCCATGTTTGAGAAGGCGGGATGATTCCTGCGCACCCACACAAACGATATAAGATTCTTGGATGCCATTGAGAGGTTGGGCGTGTAGGGCGGAAAAGGCCAGGGGCCCGCGTAAACTGTTTCAGATTCTAGTCTACAAGCCTAAAGTCACGGGCTCTCTAAAGAAACCTTCATGCGGTCACATTTTAATTTCCCTGGAGTCTTTCGCAAGTCTTGGCGTAGGAGTCTGCCCAAAACCATACAACGAAACAAGCGGTTACGGAGGTTCAGGGGTAGGTGCTTACTACATTTACTACATGAGCCTGGAATGGACATGGGCAAGTCACATGCATCTCACACATCATGTGTACAAGTATGTATGGTTGACATACACGCACAACTCAGGCAGTGCGTTCTGCGGCACCCAACCAATCACTGGTACTGGTTGCAAATGCGGTCACAAGACTCAACTTCCTCCCACGGTTCAATCGCACCCAGTGATTCCGTTTACATATACAGTATGCACCCTTTAAAAGCCAGAAAGGAAAATAGCTGCTTGCCGGTTATAGTGGTAAGTGGGATCCACTGGGGTAGGCTTGGTGTACAGGTGCAGTAGGACGGCAAATAGCGGTGTCGGAAACATGTGCGTCATGGAACATGGTCATTGTTTTCGATGGACCTTCGTCTTCCAAACCCCTCAACCCATGTCGTGGGGCCAAAATCCCTGCTCCAGCTGCCTCCAGTTCGCCTGAAGCCAGCCTGGAAGCGGTCGGCCCCGATCACAGCCCGGCCCAACTCCGTTCAAATCAAAGCCGACACACACACACACACAGGTTGCTTGTTGAGGTTGCAATGTATGCAGAATGAGGTCACAATTACAGGTCAATATGGGCATTACTAAGTGAATGCATGAATAGCTAGGCGAATTTCAAAAAACACATGTATTTTGATGGTACATGTCTAGATCGCACTTACACACAACGCCATGCTTGTACATGTACAGCTGCTGCCATGCACTTCTCGACAGGGCCACTTCGCGGAATACGAGTCGTGCCGGCGTCTTCGGCTTGAGGTGAACCTCTATGATAGCAAATGTCCTGCAGAGGCTGGGTGGAACTAAGATGGTCTTAGTATTGCAAAGCCGATCGTAAGGTTTGCCCATGCGTCTTATTGGAACCAGAAAGAGCGTCGCCTCTTTTGGGGAATGTCGCCTCTTTTGGGGAATGTCTAAATACACGGCAGGCTGAAGTCGACCCTTGTGAATGGGAGAAGAAATTGCATTTGGAATTGCATGATCCTGATTCCAATGACGACATTGCTCGGAAGTGCAATGTGCTTGCATTCTGCTTTGTCCTGCACTTACTATCGCCATCTCATGGTGTATGTGACATCCCTTGCAATGGATACATACCTATTTTTGAATGCATCCATTCCACAAGTGTGCTGCGGTTGCAAGCTTGAGCTAAAGGCCCGAATCAGCAACTGTCCTCCGGATTGTCTTCTTGTCGTGAAACAGGGGTCATTTGCAGTTTGGTGAGTTTTGGGCGAGGCTGGACATGGATTCGCATCTCTACACTACCATGACTTTCTGCTCCCCATCTAAGGAATGGAAGTTGTGCAAGGGGAAGTCGGCGCTGGACATGCTTCGGGGGCCCACCAGTTATATGCAGCCCTCAAAGATTGCTTCCCCCAGCCAAAATCAGCTTCTTCGGACCCAAGATTTGGCCACGTCACCCAGGGGCCGTGCGAGCTGACAGGAAAAGCTGAAGGTCCTTCGCGCCATCTCGCACGAGATCTACATCACAGCAGCACGGCTCGGTATGAACAATTGGGTCAGGATGCCATGTGATACCGAAGATTGGAATGCACCGTAGCAGTCTTCCAGTGAGTGGGGGGGCCACAGCCATAGAAAGAGGATATTGGACAATTGCATGGAACAGCTGCTGAAAGCGTACCCGAAAAAAAGCGTCAGCCCGCACCAAGTTGAGCAAAAGCCAAATTCCACCATCCGAACAACTGGCAACGATATATTACATGGTAGGCTCTTGTTTGTTTGGGGAGGGCATGAGAGGCCTGGATGTCCACAAGCACCAGGGGCAGACTCTATCTTGTCCATTAAGGTAAGCAACAAATTGTGCATGTTTCATCAGTTGCCGTTGCCTTCGACTTTGCTTCGCTTCTGCCCCTAACGTCCGAAGGCAGGCCAAGGTTATTTTCTTTGTTCGAAGAGTCGAACATTTCAGATTGATTGGCCTTTATGGTTTACTTCAAAACGCGTACTGTTTGGGAAGGACTTCAAATTATTCCCCTTATCAATAAAGGCAGCCTCTGAATAAGCATGTTTCCCAGCCCCAAGTCTCTCAAACAATTAGAGTTCGCCAATGCCAAAGTTCCAAGTCAGAAAATGTCCCGCCGATCCCAACTCGGCACATGTTGGAACTGTTCCTCGACTGAGACTCAACCAATACAGGATGGATACCAAGGCAATGCTAAATCAACGCTGAACCTATACTTAAATCCCATTCGGAACCTGAACAAATCAGAAATTTGACAGATGTTTGCCTGTTTAAACAAACAAACTTAGTCGCAAATAGCGATGTTGTCATTTTCGGGCCCGGGAAGGGGGGGGAACCCTTGTCCAAACAAAATCTGTTCTCTGGGAAGCAGGGTGTTTGAGGAGCAGTGTCTGACCCGCTGGGGCTTTACGAGGGGGTTTGGATAGTTTTTGGAGTCTTGGAGGTGGTTGAGTTTTCGTTAGAAACCCTTCACCCACACGCACATTCTTATTTGTTTGGCGTTGGTTCACCAGGTTTGACCGTTGGGGACCCCCCTTTCCACGCGACTTTCCTGCCTCGACTCATGCCCTGACTTTGGAAAGTATCCTTGGTTTTCTCTCGCACACGCATTGTCCAAACCTTGCAGGCTGGTGCGACAGGTACGGAATATGGGAATGAACCAGAAGGGGCATGCCATTCAGGAACGCATTCCATGTCTCATTCCCTGCCTTTGCACCAAGAGAAACCAATGGAGGCGAAGCACATGCGGCAGATGATGGGCTTCTTCAACGAGACGGAGCACCGCCAGGAGGCCTTCGTGATGTTCTACACGCGCGGCCCGGCGATTCCAGTGACAGGTCGCCCAAACATCCGCACGG